TTTATCACCGTCACGAATGCGTTAAATTTAGTCAAAATATACTATTTCATCAAAAACACAAAAACTCTGAAAGAGTTAATTGAAATTTTGACAAGCGACATGTTTCAAGCTACTCCTTTACAAATAAAAATTGTTCAACCCGATTTGATATTTTTGAAAAATGTCACCTTGGTGTTAGCTGGTACAGTTAGTTCTTGTTTGACATTTTGGTGTTCTTTTCCACTACTGGACAGTTCAAGCAGAGGAAACCGACTACCATTTTTGAGTTGGTATCCTTTCGATACGACGACATCACCTGGGTATGAGTTAACTTACTTACACCAAGTTGTCAGTATTTGGGCTCTTGCCGCCAGTAATTTAAATCTGGATACTTTAATTTCGGGTCTGATGGTGCTTATTGGGGCTCAGTGTGATATTTTATGTGATAATTTAAGAAATATCAAAGCTGAACGTTTCAGACAGGAGTTCGTTAAGTGCATTCTACACCACAAAGTGATATTAAAGTACCAAAAAGCACCAATTTAACCAGTTTTTACAATTTTTGGTTTCAGATTTTCAGAAAAATCCAACGAGTTTTTCAACATGATCGCATTTGGGCAATTTTTTACAAGTGCAGCTTGTATAGCAATGACTTTGTTTAGACTCACAGTTGTAAGTGTGTTAAGTTTTGTTTGAGTTGTACTTGTGAAATTATTTTTCAGGTGTCGCCAAGGAGTAGCGAATTTTCGTCACTTACGTTTTATCTGGGTGCAATCATTCAAGAAATTTTCTTATATTGTTGGTTTGGAAACGAAATCGAAATTAAAGTATAGTACAAGAATTTGTGACAATTTTTAGATTTTTTTTTTGTAGAGTAGCCAAATTGGTTATGCTGTGTTTGAATCGGATTGGATTGCTGCCTCGCTTAGTGCTCAGAAAAGTATGGCCATTTTTGTTCTGAGGTGTCAGAAACCTATTAAAATGTCTGCTTTTAAACTTTTTTATCTTACAGTAGAAACTTATGTGGCGGTGAGTATTGTTTTCATTTTTGAAATTCAGTTTTTGTGTAATACTGTTCCAGATTTTGCGAGCTTCGTGGTCGTATTTTACAGTGTTAAATAAAATTAATTCTCCTGAGTAGATGAAAAAATTCTTTTGGAATTAACAGTATATTGCTTAAACCATCAAGTTTGTATCAAATTGAAAATGGAAGCAAGGCCAAGTGCATGATTTGGGCGAAATGTTGAAAAAAAAAATTAGTTTATTATCATATTATCAAAAATAGAAATTGTTGTTTATTTTCTCTCGTTTTTGCTAGTAAATGGGTTAAATTTTGTGTTGCAGCATGCTTCTTTATCTTTGGTGTTGTACTGCGTATTTTACCTTACACATGCCGGTTATTGTAAGAATAGTAAATTTGTCGAATTATAATTTTTCATAAAATTTTATCCAATTACTAATAATTACAATTTTCTGTACATGAAATCTTGACACATGAGGAATAATAGTATCTCTCTTCATTTTTTATCCAGAGCTATTTTAGTATTTATCTAAGTAACTGGACTTTAAAAATTCGGTAGGGTATCAATTAGTTCAGTGAATCTAAACTGTTAACAAACTGAATTAAATCTGCTCTTTTAAAAATAAATAACTTCAACTTCTGTGTCTTGACAGTTGGCTAAAAATGGAAGATAAATAAATATTCAAATAAAAATGCTGGTGTTTGGATTCCTTTTTCTCTTTCTCGTCATATCTACATATTATTATATAATTATGTTTTTCAGGTTAACTGGACTGTAACACACATATGGAGATTAATTTTTGTTTATTATTCATTTATATTTTATCTACTAATAAATAAATAAATACTTGTTATCATTAATTAAAATAAAAGACAGAGTGTCCATTTGTTTCCACTTTCACCCTTATTTTTGGAGAAAATTAAAAAAAATTGTGGTGTTTAAAAATAAAAATGCATTTGAAAAATAAAAATATAATGCTTCAGAGCAATGTAGGAGATTATTGCAATATCACCCTTTGGGTTGGCAGTTGGTTGGTAGATTTTCGGAGGTCACTTATTTCCTCTTATTGGTATATAGTTTCTTGCTTTGCTGTCCTAATGTAAATACATGTTAAAAATAAGGGTGGGTCGAAATTAGTAAGTAATTTTATAAAAAATCAATTGTTTAAACAAAAATGAATCACCCTCAACGCCACTGTCCCCTTCAACAGTGTGATTAGTGTAAGACCAGTTAATTAGCGGTTTCATAATCTGAAATATTGTGAAACGTTAGCTAAATTCGCCTACACGTGTTGTTTTGGTTTCATTGTTTGTAAATTCAAAGATCATGTTAAGATTTGTTATACAGTTCAGTTACAATAATGTAAACGTTTATATAAAACACGTGGCAGCAAATTTGCTCATTTAGGCCCAATTTATTTTTGGTTGTGGTCTCGAAAACGTCCAAATTTTAGCTGGAAATTAATTTTCGTTGAAATTTATGAGTTCTAAACTGTTGAATTTGAAGGTTTTCTTGGTATTTTTGAGTCCAAATAATGTAAGGAATGTTAGAAATCGTAAAAAAACCTTAAGAGCTTGCATTTTTAGAGTTTTCTTCTCTTTTTCGGCAAATATGGCTTAGAAACTCTTACTCGACATTTATGATAATTCGTTCATGTTCTTTAAACTAATGTAAAGATCGATCCATTGTGAGAAAAAGTACCTTGAAAATTATCATCAGTTAAATTAAAACATGTGCTTGAAACTGGGGTTTAATTACTTTCTCGCAGCCTGAATTTGAGCATTTGTTGATTACTTATTCTTATTATTTTCAATTTTACTAGATTTAATATGTGCTTATTTTGCTTATGTCATGTGTGCTTTGTTTTATATAATGGGGTTATTTTTGGGCCACTACGATATTTTTAATATATAATTTGACACCACGTAAATTCTTTGGTTCGAAATTCTTGACAAAGTGTGACACAATTATTAAATTTTGCTTATTTCCGTCCTTATAATCAAATACATATTGCGCTATTGTCAAAATAACGGAAATTTTACCCTTAACCGCTCCGCATCCAAATGTATACAGTTTTTCTCATTGCCATTTTTCATGTGAATGTTTATCTGCTACCTGTACAACTCCACATAAAGGGACTTGCAGCCCCAAAATGGTGAAACTTATCGTACATTTCTGGGACTGGAAAATCCTGGAAGCACGCCTGGTAGGCTCCTTCGAACTTTTTATAGTTATTGTTTACATGTTTGAACTTCGTTCGTTTAAATAAATAAACTATAGGAACATCTTGTAGAACTGTTTTATTTGAAAAACGTGGTCTAAGATTTAGAGAGAACTTCCCTCGCTCCTGAAGTACAGTCTAACAAATCCAGCTTAGTTGAAAAATTATAAAATTTAATCTTGCGAAATTTTTCCTTCATGATAACCTCTGCAAGTTATAAAGTGTAAATAATATCATCACAGTGTAAGAAAAAAAAAGTGACTCATAAGGGGATCGAACCGCTGATCTTCATGTTATGCCTTGAGTAAATAAAAAAGGCGGATTCATAAACTACAAGAACAGGTGTATGTTTTTTAATAAAATTTAAGTAGCGTTTACTGTGGAAAATTTTGAAGAGATACCAAACTGTTTGTGAGGATGAACAGACATATTTTGGTTAACGTTTCAAAATCTATACGATATTCGTATCATACATAATAAATTTGACAATAATTGATCCGGTAGTTTTGGAGACAGACAGATGGAAATGGACCACCCATTTTTTAAAGTCTAGGAGTAACGAAACTACAGTTTTTACAATACATCCTTAGTTTATGAGAATATAAATAAAAATAAAAATAACAGCACTACTAGAACAAATCTCTTTTTAAACCTCCATAGTATGAAAGAAGTTTTTTTTTTGCTAATTTTTATCACGAATTTTTAAAGAGTCTCAGCGAATCTTAACCAATTTTAGACTTTTAAGAGTTCATTGTTATTGAATCGGCGGTTTTTAACTATTAATATTTGTTATTCAGATAAAATAAATACAATAAAGATGACTGCTGAGAAGTCGGACACATATTCTCGATAATAAGGTCTTGAATACATGTTCATAAATATTAATTTTATTCCGTCAGAATAATAACTACAAAAATTTTACTTTGTAATATAACAAATTATAAGCATGCTCTTGCCTTTTGATTATAATACGACCGGAATATGCGCAACTCAAGAATTATCCTGTTATTGGAGGTTAATTTAACTTAATATCGATACATGTAATTTAAAAGTAAAGGATAAAATCTCTTTAATCTATTATTCAAACATGCAATTTTTGCTTTAGTTTTGTTGAGAAATTACAGGCTAAAACCTTAGACATAGAATTTATTTTAATGGGTTAATAGGCATATTTATTAATACAATTTCACGAAGCTGGAACAGTAGTCTACTAGCAAAGATCGCAAGCATTCGGTCAAAGTTCTCTGTTTTTGTAGTGTTTGAAATTATTGTTGTCAACCCATGAATTGTAACTATGAAATACCACAGAAAATAACGAATGTTAGTCGACAAAAACTAGTGAATTTCCTTAATTTTCGCCCTGTTTCAGGAGTTTGGAGGAGATTTTCCTTAACAATTAAATTGGAATTTCGTTAATACCAAAGCAGATAGAGAGATTTGAAGTTTTATTATCAAGTGAGTAGTTTTAAAAATAAATCTTAAAGATAAGTCAGATAATTATGTTTTAGCTATTTCCTGGTATCAGGTTTAGATACTGGAAAATGGAGAAGCTTGTCTGGAAAGACTCTCTAAAAATGAATTTTTTTGTCCTACGATTTCTGGGTTTGTGGCCTAATGATGATAAATTTTACAGTTTTAACCTCTACACACTCTATGCAATTTCAATCATCACTACTTTTGCAATCGGTCACACTTTATGTGAAGTCTTAAACATCTTCTTCGTCTACTCCGACTTGGAGAACTTCTCAGAAACAATATTTATCACTAACACAAACCTAATGGTTCTAGCTAAATTATACTACTTTATCAAAAACATGGAAACCCTGAAACAGGTTATTGAAACCCTCAACACCAACATGTTCCAAGCTAAACCTGCACAAATAAGAATCGTCCAACCTGATTTGAATTTCCTGAAAAATGTCGCAATAATCTTGGCTGTTACAATTGCTGCGTGTGTTCTATTTTGGTGTTCTTTTCCACTACTAGACAGTTCGAGCAGAGGCAATCGATTACCGTTTTTGTGTTGGTATCCTATTGATACGACCGCATCACCTGGGTATGAATTAATCTACTGTCACCAAGTTGTAAGCGTTTTCATTCTGGCTACTAATAGTGTAAACCTAGACACTTTAATTTCGGGCCTGATGATGCTTATTGGAGCACAGTGTGATATACTGTGCGATAATTTAAGAAACATGAAACCTGAACATTTCAATCAAGAATTTGTTAAGTGCGTTCTGCACCATAAAGCGATTTTAAAGTACAAAAAATTGCTACCATGTCACAATTACTGCAATTTTCGTTTTCAGATTTGCAGAAACGTCTAGCAAGTTTTTCAGTATGATTATCTTCGGGCAGTGTTTTACAAGTGCAGCTTGTATAGCAATGACTTTGTTTAGACTCACAGTTGTAAGTGTGGTAAATGTCGTTTGAGTTGTAGTTGTGAAATTATTTTTCAGGTATCGCCAATGAGTAGCGAATTTTGGTCCATCACATTTTATCTGGGTGCGGCCATTCAACAAATTTTCTTGTATTGTTGGTTTGGGAACGAAATCGAAATTAAAGTATAGTGCAATAAGGATTTGTGACAATTATTAGAATTTTTTTTATAGAGTAGTCGAATTGGTTATGCTGTGTTTGAGTCGGACTGGACTTCTGTTTCGCTTAGTGCTCAGAAAAGCATGGTCATTTTTGTTCTGAGGTGTCAGACATCTATTACAATGTCTGCTTTTAACCTTGTTTATCTGACATTAGAAAATTATGTGGCGGTGAGTATTGTTTTCATTTTTGAAATTCAGTTTTTGTGTAATACTGTTCCAGATTTTGCGAGTTGCATGGTCTTATTTTGCGGTGATCCGCAGTTTTAATTCTGATGAATAGATACAAATAATGGAGACAGTAAAAAATTGTGATTATTATTTAGTGTACTAGTTTTAGAAAAATATATGTAACAGTTAAATTGTAAAAAATAAAAATATATTACAGACACATAAACATAAAACAGGATTAAGCAATTTATTTTTGAATACACAACTACTTAATAAGTGTAAAAGATGACGTCACCGACTTTATAGAAGGGAAGAATGTTTAAACTCTGTGCACAATTTGGGACTCAATGGATTTACTCTAATTGAGAGGTTTCAACTACATTTATTTCCCATTTTGCAATCATAACTGGTGCTGAGGGACGAAAATGAGCCGTTTGTAATAATTCAATAGCATCAACCTCCATAAATATTAAATTGTAAAAGCGCTTTTATAAAACGTTTGTTAGGGAGCTCTCCTCGAATGCCGTAATAATAATTAGCATGCAAAAGTAGTTCAGTGTGCTGCAACTTATTGAGCGTTTCGTAGCAAACACGAGAGAATTCATTTCCATTATTCTACTAAAATTATTTTGATTACGTGGTAACACAGAGCAAGTAAATATTAGGTGCCTCCACTGACATAATTGTAAAAAAATGTAACCCAATAATAGAATAAAATAACTTATAACACTTGAATTAAAAGTTGTTTGCTATGTACATATAAGAGTTGTTTGATTGACTCGCTTTGCTTCATGCAATCTTAAGCGTAAATAATAAATTAGAAAATATAGGCAAGTAGACTGCTGGGGGAAAGCTCAGCAAAGATTATCAGTATGGAAATATTGGTAACTGCCTTCACTGTGTTATGAATAGAGAAAGTAAATTTCAGATCATTTTTGTCTAGTCTTGGGTAAATTTCTTTGTCTTCCATGCTAGAGGGTTTAGATTTTTTTACTGATGTAGAGATCTATGTCATCTCTACAATCACTAAAAGAAAATCCATTAAAAGTAGAAGCAAATGAATAAGTATTTATTAGCTCACCTGCCTGAAGATGGTGCTGCGTTCGAAACAAGTGTCCTACAATTAATTTTTTAAAACTCAAGAATGTGGTGTCTTTGTCTTAAATCAATGCAAATTTCCTTAATACTTACCACGTCCGTAATTTGCGATTCAATAACGGCGTCATTTTATCGTACGTGTTCTTTTTTAAAATAAATTAGCGGTTGAGAGCTAATTTTACTCTTGCTAGGTAATAGTGAGAGAATATGATACGTAATTTAGTAATTTTCTACATTTACAAGCCAAACAATGATTACATATGAAAGAAAAAAGATTCTTCCCCCTTCATTTTAGCATAATTATAATAAAATATTGATAAGTGTGTAGACAATAATTGCAGGTGTACAGATTTGTGCTTTTATCGTACTAAAACTTTCATTAAAATTAAATTATGTTTGCATTGTCTGAAATCAACTTCGGATTGGAGGAAATTATGGCGCATTGGAGGGAATATAAAGACTCTATAAAAGCAAAAAATGATAACTTTCAACGGGAGTGTTCCAAGTGTCTAACATCGGTGCGTCTATAAACGTAATATTCTCGAAGGAAATTAAATAACACTGGTTTTGCTTAAAATTCCAATGGACAATTTTGACTGGCGTAAAACCATTAAGATTAACCTTTTCGCTTTAAAAGTCGCGGGACTCTGGCCTAAAGAGTATGAAGTCTACAAACCCAATCTTTACCTGCTTTACGCCGTAGCGTCAACTTTTATCATTCTCGGAGGCCACAACTTATCCCAAGTCATCAACATCTTCTACGTTTACACCGACCTTGAAGCCTTAACAGCGACTATTTTTGTCGCAGCAACCAACATTTTCTCCATAGTAAAAAGATATTTCTTTGTGAAAAATCTGAAAACCATTAAGGGACTCCTTCAAACGTTAAACACAGATCAGTTTCGGCCTAAAAACCGTCGCCAAATGGAGCTAGTTGAACTCTCAGTGAAAGGTTGGAAAAAAGCTTACGTTTACTGTATCATTGCGTTAGCAACAAACCTGACGTTGTGGTTGTCGGTGCCTGTTTTGAATGGTTGGGTGAAGTTCCATCGGCTGCCCTTTGAAGCTTGGTACCCTTTCAACACGAAGGTGTCTCCGAATTATGAACTCGTCTACTTGTACCAGTTTGTCTGTATATGGTATATGGCTTTAAGCAACATGAATGTGGATACCTTAATTTACGCCTTCATGATGTTCATTGGGAGTCAGTGTGATATTTTGATGGACGATTTGAAAAATTTGAACGTTGGTAGTTTCAACGAAGAACTCCTGCGTTGTATTCAGCACCTGAAAAAAATACTGAAGTAAGTACTTTTATTAAGATTTCAAAAATGAAAGAATTTTTGTTCGCAGTTTTGCTAAAGTCAGTAATAAAATTTTCAACGTTATTGTTTTCGGACAAATTGCTACAAGTACAGCTGCACTGGCATTATCCATGTTTCAGTTAAGCTTGGTGGGTTTTTCTTACTTTAATTTGTTTCAGTATTATTTTGTGTTTTTGAAGGTGGATATTGGCAGTGGTCCTGCCTGGACTCACCTTGCGTATATTTTCGGAATGTTAACTGAAATTTATTATTATTGCTGGTTTGGAAATGAAGTGCAAATTAAGGTAAGTTGAATTAAATTTTGTTACTAAGCTATCTTTGAAGTTTACAGAGTGATCAAATACCGTATGCCGTTTTTGAGTCTAAATGGATCGGACAACCCAAAGATGCCCTCCACAACCTGATTATTCTGTGTGAAAGATGTCAAAAACCTATTAAAATCACTGCAATGAATTTGTTTACTTTTTCGCTGGAAACATTCATCGCTGTAGGTAAGGTTTCACATCTTGGTAGCTAAAACATTTTTTTTTTCAGATTATTCGAAGTGCCTGGTCTTATTATGCAGTATTATCTACAGTTAATACTGATGAGTAGTTGTGTAAACTGATAGTTAGGTTGAAATAAGTTGCCAAAAATTTTTAGTTATGTTTATAGTATCTAGTATTTATAAGTTAAAAAAAAACTTGAACACATTTTTTTTATTATAAATTATTTGTTCTTTGTAAAATACATAATAATAAGAGAAAATTGTCAAACTATGTTCATCCTTAGGCTTTTTGAGACAAAATAACAGTCCCTGATATTCTACAAAGTTTAAAATATTTAGGCACTGAATTTACTGAATTCGCTTAAAAACTGTTTAATTTCAGTTAAGTAGAGTAAACTTAGTTCAGTTATTACTAGTATATATTACCTGTAATGTAAAATATAGATAATGAAAATATATTACTTTTTATAGGTTAAGTGTACATTTTTTTATTGGTACGAACATCGTAAGAAAATTTTTCAAACAGATCTTTGCTCTCCTTGTACGAGCTGAAGACCGTATTGGAATATCAAATATTTTTTAAAATTTCTTTAATAAATTATTTTTTCCACAAAGTTAATGACGTTGTACTCATTTATTTTTTATTATTGTTGATAGAGACTGTTTTACTTTAATGTTGCTTTGTTAAAAGGTTTTCTTCAAAGGAAGATATAAAATTTAAATCACAGTTATAAAAGATTGGTACAAGGTTACTTCGACAAATAGGCAACGGAAAGAGTGTATTATTATCAATGTACATCCTTAACTTCGATTGTTTATGTTTGTACATTGAAAGAGTGTCGGCTGCTTGATTTGAATAACATGTCTCCTCAAAATAGAAGCTAAAATGATTAATGAATCCACAATGGAACAAAACATTTTGTATATGATTATTATTTTTATTTGATCATAATTAAATAAATGTATGGGAATTCTCGCATTTTCTAGAAAATAGGTTCTAAATTTGATCAATAAAAAATTGTTCGAAGGCTATAAGTATAATCCGACAAATCCAGCTCCTTTAAAAAAATTTATAAAATTTGATTATACGATTTTCGTTTTATGATAACCGCTGTATAAAGTAAAAACAATGTAAAATATATTTAAAGCACAGAACTAACGGGATAAAATGTCCTTCAGCACTAGGTAATAAGAATCTGAAGTGTTAATTTATGTTTATATACGAAAGAATGTCACGTAGAAATTAATTTGACCAATAAAAATGAACCTGGATAATACTGGTAACAGCGCATTACCAGTGCAAGAAAAAAAAAGGACTTAGGGGCTTTCGGAATCGAACTCACGCTCATACGTCGCCAGTTTGCTGAGAAATCCGCTGATGCACTGAGCCACGAGAACTTACAACCGTTGGTGGTAATATCAGATTATTATACCGTGCAATTGTTTTTGCGAAAATTTGAACGTTTAGCGTAAAAACTGAAGCGGATTCATATACTACAAGTATAGGAGTATATTTTTGTATAACACTCAAATCATTTTATAACACCGTTCATCGAGTGGCGTCATCAAATTGTTGGTGGGGATGATTAACCAAATTTCCAACATACATGCAAAATTTGACAATAATCGGTCCAGCAGACAGTCAGACAACCGGAAACGGGAGACTATTTTTTTCATAGTGTAGGGGTCATGAAACGTCGGAAAACATAAAAGTGGACTCGATTACTATACCTCTTTAGCTTACACTCGGAAAGTAAAAACATATTTGATAAAAATTTATTGTTGATTTTGTAGTTGCAAGTCTAATGACCTTTATTTATTTAGAATCTAAATGAAACACGTGTTTAAGGGCATTTTTTTAATACTTGCGTTTAACCACCAATTTTGATGTATTCATATGCAAAAAAGTCGTTCTGTATGAACTAAAAATAATTCGTTTATCCTGTTTGTGGTTACTGTGAACTACTTTTGCTTTACAGACATAAGTAACAACACTGTGTTTAAAGCACTAATTACATCATTATGGTATTTGCAACCCCAATGAAATATTTAGAAATTAACTGCTAAGACTATCCAGAGGTTTTATGAATAATAAATAATTACCAATTACATAGAAAATCGATTGCTCAAGTTGCTTTTTAACGTTTGCCATTGCTGCATTAAAGCCATTCCAGTCTTGTGAGAAAGTTTAGTTAAGTTCTGTACTTATCGCTACCACGTTCCATAAGTGCTTTTTTTCCAGTGATAATTAGAAGAAGTATTTCAACTTCGTTAAGTGGTTAAGTGTAAGAACATGCGTCGAGAACAGCAAAAATTACATTTGTTGTAATATTATGAATTCCTAAGTCGTTTCTGTTTTTAGGTTTTCAGCCATATTTAATTTATTGGTAACAAGATTGGTTGTAATTAAAAAAAGGTATCAAACGTAAGTGTGAATAATAATATATCGAATAAAGTTAGCAACCGCTGGTGGTATATTATTTTGGAGTATAAAGCAATAGTTTTACAAAAAGAAATTAAAACTGCTGGATGGAAGAAATCGACTAAATTAAAAAATATATAAAACAGATAAAAAAACAGAAGTTAAGTTACATTACCTACAAGAACCTGAAATAATAAAATTCAGTTACTTTTTTAAATTTGATTACATCAATTTTTTGCTTACCAAAACTTCTTAAAATTTTTTATGTTTGTCTGTACGTTCAATAGTTTCTTTATCAGATTCGCTGAAGTCAATGCTAACATAGGAGCCGAAGTGCGTCCTAAACAATGGCTTGTGTCGGTCGATTATACCGAGCTTGCAAAATATTATTTTACACAGTTAAGAAGTGTAAATAACTAATATTAGCTGGAGGTCCTGAAAAAATATCATAATTGTTAAAAAAAAAGTAATTAATGAAGCAAATCAAAATTAAGAAGTTAGAAAGTACAATTATGTGGAAAGAAGAATAGAAACAAAGGCTTTATAAATAATTTGTGCTAAACTATATTTGTTTATACTTACCTGTAGCCCTTTTGTCAATAAATGCTTAAAATTTGTCTTATGTTTTTTGACGTTTTCTATCCGACTTGTTAGTTTCATCTCTAAGTTAAGAAAGCAAAGGTAGAAAAAGGCAAAATTTTTAAACCAAAAACCGATATACTCTGCATGCATTTTTAACATATTCCCTCAAGGAAAAGTAACCCTAATATTGTAGCTTAATTACATTTCTCGATTTTAAAATAATTACAATGGCATTGCTATATTATGTAAACCTAATGAAATATTTAAAAAATAATTGTTGAGACTACATTGAGGTAACATGAATCTTAAATAATGACCTACTTAAAGTGACCATGAATAAGTAATTCTGTACCGTATACATTATATTACTACGAGCAACAACATTATTAAACTTCAGTTTTAAGTTAGAGTTGTCAAATTAGATCTCTCATCATTTTTTATATCTCTTTCGGAGTAAGGTACCCAAACAACAAATCTATGGAAATATTTTAAAGTTTATTATAGTTTCTTGGAAACTTTTAAACCAATTTCTTGTTTTAGGAGCCACATGGAAAAATTCGCCTGGAGAGATCTGATTGACATCAATATCCGTGTTTTAAAAATCGGAGGTCTCTGGCCCAAAAACGAACAGTTTAAAAAATGCAGCGTTTACTCTTGTGTGACGCTATTAGTACTAGTGTGCATAACAGCACACGCTGCAGGTCAATTAATCAACATTGTTTTTGTCTACTCAAATTTGGACATCTTCGCTGAATCTTTTTTCGTTTGCATTTATAAAACACAATCTTTAATGAAGATCTACATCTTCGTACGTAAAATGCCGCTGCTCAGAAGCTTGATGCTGGACTTAAAGAGCGATCTTTTCAAACCCAGAAGCTACAGACAATTATTGTTAATTTGGCCCGACGTTAAAACCTGGAAGAACGTCTATTACATGCTATCAGGAGCAGCGACTTTTGGATTGTTAATGTGGTTAATGTTTCCAATTTTGAGTGGATCTTATAGAACGTACGCTCTGCCATTCTTCTCTTGGTACCCTTACGACATAACGAAACCCTTAATTTACAAACTGACGTATTTACACCAAACTGCGAGCAGTTTTCTTCTAATTCTTGGATGTTTTAACATCGATATGTTAATATCTGCGCTGATGATGTACACAGGTGCACAGTGTGATATCTTGTGCGATAATTTACGAAGTACTGGATTTGAAATGGGCGATTTTGAAAAAACTTTTAGACGTTGTGTTTTACACCATAAGCGGATTTTGAGGTATGGACGAAGTTGGAAGAATTTTTGATGTATGAATTTTTGCAGATTTGCTAACACCTGCGACGATTTTTTTAAAGTGATATTGTTCGGTCAGTTCTTGTATAGTTCCGTCTGCATAGCAACAACATTGTTTCGGGTGGCATCCGTAACATAGTTCTAACTAGTTTAAATTTGTTTTGACGGACTTGTGTTTTAGCTGACACCGTCAAGTTTTGAGTTTTATAGCCATATTTTTGCTATTACGGCTATTATTACGCAAATGTTTACATATTGTTGGTTTGGTGCCAAAGTCGAGACGAAGGTGGTATTTTTCGTTAATTAAAAATAAGTTTGTTTTATTTTTGTATTTTTTCCAGAGTGGTGCCATTTGCTACGCTGCATTTGAGTCAGAGTGGGTACAGGAAGATGTGTACTCAAAAAGAAATTTTATTATTTTTACACAGAGAGCACAACGTCCTATAAGATTCTCAGCGTTCAAGCTGTTGTATCTTTCGTTAGAAATTTTCGTAAAAGTAGATGCTATCTTACAGTGGTTAACTTTCAATAAAGATGAAAATTGTAGATTCTCAAGACAGCTGTGTCGTACTATACAGTTTTACTGGAGCTAAGTGATGCTAAATAATGCATAAAATCTACTGTGTTGGTTCTTTTCACGGGAAATGTCTCGAGTTACAAACTTTATAAAAATATTAATTTGTCTTTGATGACGAATTAATGGAAGCGGTAAGCGGTAAAAGCCAAATTTAATGGAATGTTGCTCAGTATGCTACAACATACTTCACTAGCGAGTGTTACTTTTAAAGTTTCATTCTTTTGTTAAAATGTTACTCTTTGTTGTTTATACGCATTTAACTCGATTTAATTATATACAAATGCAAGTTATACAGGATTAGTATAAAGTCCCTATTGAATAACTTTGTTATTTGAAAAACTTTTTTTTTTTAGAAATTTGGTGTGGATTTGGTGAGAACTAAAAAATATTCACAAAAACACCTAATATTGTAAAATCAAAATTATGAGTACGACTACAATAAATGGTCAAAGTGTTTTTCGTTTACAATTTGGCAGTGATTATTGATTATGTATGATTTTACAATATTAGGTGTTTTTTGTGAATTTTTAAAAAATTTTTATATTAGTAGAAATAAACATGTTAATAATTTTTGAAAGTATCTGGGCGATAAAAAAGGGAAAAATATTGTAATAAAGTCGCCATGTTTAACTATATACTAACCCTGTATATGATTTTCGTTATCACGTAAAGCATACGTTTTTGAAGTTAATATTTGGTCATTTGTCGACATTGGATTTAGCTTTTACCGCAAACTGACGTGTCAAAAATAAGGAACGTATTTTCTGTCAAACAGAGCTAGTTTTAAATGATATATTAGAGATAATAAAACAATATTTACAAAAAAATATATTTGTGGACAATTTCTGTTTTTATATTTGTTCTTTTTCGTTTCTAGCGGTTAATTAGAATAGGCTATCCTGACGCGTTTTGGTTACTTGACCATAACTTTTGAGCAGGATATACTAAACAAAAATATAACATAATTAAATTTATTTGTTAAATTATACTACTGTGGTACCGTTTTTAAATTTAATCAATTTAATTAATTTTAAGAGGTCTATAAATTTATTGAAGTGTTTTGTTAAAAAAAAAGAAAATTAAGAAGCAAAAGTATTAAATCAATATGCATTAATTGTGACCTAGTTTTTACTGCCCACTATGTTACCAAATTACGTAGGTTTTGTCTTAGAAATACAACTTGTGTTGTGGTGGGTTGCCTATAATCCTGCGTCTTAACAACGTCAATTGTGATTTGTTTTCATTTTCGCAAATTCGTTTTACTTATTGTTTTTCCAATTCTTGACAAAAATCAGTCCTTTTTAAGGCCACATCTTTATCTGAGAGTGAATCAAAGCTACCAAGGTGCGTTTTGGTTCAAAAACAGAACTTTCACCTCGAGAAAAATGTTTTCAGGAATTTTGTGAAAAAATTATTTCATCAGACTAGTAGCATTAAGACGAAATCAAGAAGTTGCACAGGGTTTCATCTATCGGGATATAAAAACTCGCAAAATATGAGGATGTGGAATGCAGAAAATCTTCACTATTTTGAAAAAATGCCATTATATCCACAAGAAATGGGAATTTGACGTTACATTTCTCGAAAGCGTCTATTTGGGCCTATTTTCTTCTAGGAGTCAGTCATGGGACGAAATATCAGACCATACTGTAGGGATTTATTAAACAGTTTTATTTTAAAGAATTGCAGTACGAACATTTTCAGCATGACGAGGCAACAGCTCGTACAATTTTAAACAAGTTTGAACTTTCAGTTTTATGACGACCAACACAGATCATATCGACAAACCTCGATCACCTGATTTGACACCTATAGACTATTTCTTGTTCCTGACTTTGAAAAACATTATTTTGAAAAGATCCACAGAAATGACTGAAAACTTAAAAGTGAGAATCATACAAAAGCATGAAATTGTTTCGCCGGAAGTTCTTACTAGAATATTTAGAATATGAAACCCCGAGTCAATTTATGTATGAAGCTCAAAAACAGTCAAAAGAAAAATGTTTGTATTCTTTGAATCTGTGAAACAAACGAAAACCAAAGCTGTACTTAAAATAACAAAGAATTTTTGCATCCAAAAATTTTGGTGAAAAGAAATTGTGTATAACAAAACAAGCGAAAGAGATACTGTATGAAACTAGGTGTTAAATAAATAGAAACTTCATTGGTTCCCTTCTATTAATACTATAAATAAAGGAATACTGCAAGCATTGCGAGGACTCATGAATTAATCTCACCATTGAATGTACTATTACTTTATTTTATTAGCCAAAAGCCCAGAAATACATTTAATTCTTGAAATTTTATTTTATTAAAAACAAAATTTTTAGATACAGTCATGCAACCCACGAAATCAAAATAACGATTTTTCTATGATTTTGTTAATACAGAACAGTTTCTTTTGAAGAAACAAGAAAAAGCACTTACCTTTTTTTTTCAAAATTTTCACATTTTGCAAAGATTAGTTTGAAAAGTTTTAGAATGTTTTCTAAAATTTGTATTATTTTGGATTTGAACCAGTTCTCGTCTAGTCGCCAGACCACACTGAGTGTGATAATTAAAATAATTTAGTGAATAAATAAATACCATAGAAACATCTTGGCTTATTCTGAGTCTATCAACCTCTTTAATAACCAAAATATTCATTATATATAGTACATCTGCCGAATTCTCACTAAAAGAACTTCGAAGCACTGTCACTTTATAAAAAAAGCTAATCAGGGGACAGTGATTCCTGAATTCCTTCAACTCGTAATTACAGGTTTGACCCATGCGACCCAAAATTAATATTTTGTAAACAATGGCAACTCTACTCAAAAATTAAAATTTAAAAATATAATAAGCACCTAGTCTGTTCGTGAGTTGCTGGTTTAAAGGAAATAATTTGAATTATTTATAAGAAAAGCCAACTCGTTGGAAAGTGTACAAGAGCTTACATAAAAGCTTAAGAAACTTTATTGTGCGGGAATATCTGCAGTGCTTTCATTGATTGCGTTTAATACGAGTTACTTTTCTAAACCGGAATTTTTTAAAGAAAGAGCTACACAATTAGCTGAATACATAATTACTGTTTGATGGAGGCAGATATCGTTAATTACTCTTAATGATCGCCTGAAGACTTTAGCTTAATAAATAATAAATACACTCCCGCAGTTTCTTGCAATTAATTCAAACTTGCATTATTAATTGTGTACCTGCAACATTTCCCACAACGTTTGCATAATTAGATCCATTCAAAGACCTGCAGAGTCCAGACGCTACATAAACTTCGTATATCATTACTGAGAGAAGAAGGTAAATCTTTACTATTCTTAATTCATCTATTAAATTTTGTATTTTAGGTACACATGGAACGCTTTTTTTGGCGAGATATGATCGGCATGAATATTTATATTCTGAGAATTGTGGGGCTGTGGCCCAAAAATTACGAAATTTATAAACCAGACTGGTATTTTTTATATGCAGCTATTTCCACCGTTCTCTTTATGACACCCAACGTTTTGTTCCAAACACTGAACATTATTTTTGTTTATTCCAACCTGGAAGCTTTAACTGAAACGATGCTTGTCTGTGTCGCAGAACTTTTGGGACTATTGAAAATATACACGTTCATCAAAAATATTGGAATGTTGAAACGTTTGATGGTTATTCTGGAAAGTGATATTTTTCAACCGAAGAATTCTAGACAGAGATTATTGGTGGAACCAGCCATTAAATTGTGGAAAATGATCTATCACACACTTTTAGGAGCAGTTGTGCCTGCCGTGTTTCTGTGGTTAATTTTTCCTATTTTAAATGGTTCAGCTAAAAAATATGCTTTACCATTTCCTGCTTGGTATCCCTACAACTTTAAGAAGTCTTACTTTTACGAACTAACGTATTTACATCAAGCCATAGGAACTTCTCTTGTAGCTCTTGGTGACTATAATATAGACATGTTAATTTCGGCTCTGATGATGTACATGGGAGCACAGTGTGACATTCTGTGCGACAATTTGAAAAGCCTGGGAGCTGAATCTAACGACTTTGGTCAAAAGTTAAAAATATGCGTCGTTCACCACAAAACAATTTTGAGGTAAAAATATCTATAACCTTACGTGACTTGTGTCTATAGACTTTTAGATTTGCTGAAAACTGCAACGTTTTTTTCAATTTTATCATGTTGGGCCAATTTTTTACGAGTTCGATTTGCATGGCGATGGCTTTGTTTCGACTAGCTTTGGTGAGAAGATTTTATATATTGTACTTTGAGTACAATAACTACCTAAGTTGTAGGTGACCCCGTCAAGTTTTGAGTTTTATACTCTTCTAAGTTCGATAATGTCAGTGGTCATGCAAATTTTTACCTATTGTTGGTTTGGTGACGAAGTACAAAGCAAGGTATCCTTGTGATGTGATATTTTTATTGGTGTTTTATTAATTTCATTATTATAGAGCGACGCGATTGCTTACGCAGCATTTGAATCGGCTTGGACCCAGCAGTGCTTATCAGATAAGAAAAGTATGATGATTTTTATACGAAGAACTCTGGTACCTATGAAGCTTTCGACTTTTAAGTTGTTTTACCTTACTTTGGAAACATTTGTCAAGGTATTTTTTGGCATCAGTGAGTGAATGTCAATTATGTTTTCATTAATGTTTTTAGATTCTTAGATCTGCAGTATCTTATTACACAGTATTACGACAATTTGGTGGTTTGAAATAGTGTTACAATGTAGAGCTAAACATCTAAAATTCTGTAGTTATTAGCTTATTCTTTTTTTATAGAAACTATTTAAAATGAACAGAATTTTTGAACAAAACCTACATAACTAAGGAATTACAGGACACATTGGAATTTCATTGGCTACAAAAAACCAAAGTAAAGTACATCACAATTTTACTTACCAAAAACGACAAAATGGTTCACAGTAAATTTCTTGAATTTAAGAACGACAAAAAAACTAGTTTTTGTATGTTTTGAATAAAGAAAATACTCAGCTGCTGTATTATGTTTATTTTTATTTATTTAGTTTCCTTGGGGAGCACCATCAGAAACCACAACTATAATTTGGATAATGGAAATTTTCACATTTTTTTGGACTATAATTTGAATGTATGAACATCCACTAAACCCTTAAAATTATATAAAATTACAAAGAAGGCTTTTACAAATCCATAAAGATATCCAGTTTTGGATTAGATTTTAAGCTAGAAGAATATTTAGTTACCTCAGATTAGGACAAGTAGGGTTTATTCTACCATAAACTTTCTCAAATTTAGAGAAATAAAAATTTTAATTTTAATTTTATTTGAACAAGTCTCGTTGTGATCATTATGTTAATTCAAGGTTGAGGATGTGTATCAACAGGAAAGCACCGAAACGTGTTGGTGGTTATTACTGAATTTTTAGAAATTTCCTGTCTTAGAAATATTCCTAAATATGGGTTACGTGAGTTTTTAATTTGTACAACATAAAATGTTGCATAAAAGAGATCGAGAAACAAAATGGAGTCGACAGTGTTTAGAAAGTAGACGAAAATCGTTTTACATGAATGTTTTACTCCCTTCGTTCATTTAACAAATTTTGAAAAGACCACAAAATTTAAAAGAGCTGACAGACAAAAGTAAATCAAATTATTTTTAAATTGCAATTGAAACCAGAAAGAAAAGGACAAAAAATGAGAAATAGATATTAAAAATTCCTAAACAAGGAAATAATTTTAAAGCTACTTAAAACGATTGTGAATAAAATAGTATACAAACCTCGACAAAAGTACCATTCGAAGCTACGCCTCTCGGTAAACTATAGTCCTCTCGACAGGATTGGATGATATCCTGACGTAACCTGATCTGATTTGACATTACCTGACTTGACCTGCCCTAGCCTGACTTGAGCTGACTTGACCTGACCTGACCTGTCCTTGCAGACGGTGACACGTTGTATTTTGTCCAAGAGTTTATATTTTTGTGACTTTTTGCTTTTACAGCTTATGTTTTTTTTTCTATCAATAAATGATATTTGACATTTAGAAATAAACATAATATAATATAATTCCAATTACCTGTGAAACAACAAGCGGATTTAAAGTTGTTATGTGAAAACCATTTGGACTGTACTTAAAATAATATAAAGACTATTTACACTTCAAAATTTTAGTCAAAAAGAAGTTGTGTACAATATAATAAACGAAGAAAATAGTGAAAGCTCGTAGCTGTGTGAAACTAGTTGTTAAATAAATAAAAGCTTCATTAGTTCCTCTCTATAATGGATTTGAGAAATTTTAAACAAAATAGTGTCAGTTTCGGTTCTAACTATTAAACACATCCAGTCAAGAAAGAAGAGATCATAATAATGAAACCGTATAAATAAAGGAATACTGCAAACATAGCGAGCACCTGTGAATCAAGTTCATGTTTGAATATACTATTGTTTTATTTTATTAGCTAAAAGTCCAAAAAATTCATAAATTTAATTCTTGAACTTAAATTTTATTAGAAACAAAATGTATACAGTCACGAAGTCAAAATCACGGTTCCTCTATCTTATTCGTATTACATACAATACAGTATGTTTGAATAGACAAGAAAAAACACTCACCTTATTTTTTATTTTTTCATCATTTTCACATTTTGCGAAGACTCGTTTGAGAAGTTCTAGAATTCTTTGTAAAATTTGTGTTATCTGGAGTCTTTTTAGTCTTTGTCCAGTCGTTTAGACCACATCGAGTGTGATAAAATAATTTAGTGAGTTAATAAATACTGTACTAACATCTTGCATTGTTTTGAGTCTATCAACTTCTCTAATATCCAAAATATTCATTATAGTCCATCTGCCGAATTCTCACTAAAAAAACTTCGAAGGGTTGTTACTTTATAAAAAAAAAACTAATTAGGGAACAGTGGTTCCTGAATTCCTTCAACTCTTAATTACAGGTTAAAATTAATATTTTGTAAACAGTGACTACTCTACTCAAAAATTAAAATTTAAAAATATAATGAGCACCTAGTCTGTTCGTTAATTGCTGGTTTAAAGTAAATAATGTGAATTATTTATAAGAAAACCTGACTCGTTGGAAAGTGTATACGAGCTTATAAAAGCTTAAAACACTTCGTTGGGCGGAAAGTATTCACAGTGCTTTCAGTAGTTGTGCTATATAAGAATAAGAATTACATTTCCGGGCTGGAACTGTTTTTTTAAGAGTGATACACAATTAATTAACTCAAAGACCGGCAGAGTCTAGACCCAGCACAAAATTATTCCTTCAGAGAAAGATACAGAAAGGAAAGTAAACATTTTTTCTAGTTTTTATTTTATCATCTAAAGTTTGTTAATTTAGGTACACATGGAACGTTTCTTTTGGCAGGATATAATAAGTATGAATATCTATATTCTGAGAATTGTGGGACTTTGGCCCAAAAATTACGAAATTTATAAACTAGACTGGTACTTTTTCTACACAACTATTTTCGTTGTTTTCTTCATAACACCCAACGTCTTGTTCCAAACACTGAACATTATTTTTGTTTATTCGAACTTGGAAGCTTTAACTGAAACGATGCTTGTCTGCATCGCTGAACTTCTGGGACTCTTGAAAATATACACCTTCATTAAAAATATTGGAATGCTGAAACGTTTGATGATGATTCTAGAAAGCGATATTTTTCAACCGAAGAATGCCAGACAGAAATTACTTGTGGAACCCGCTATTAAATTGTGGCAAATGATCTACCACACACTTATAGGAACAGTTGTGCCTGCTCTAACTCTGTGGCTAATTTTTCCCATTTTAACCGGATCTGTCAAAAAATATGGCCTACCATTTTCGGCCTGGTATCCTTACGACTTTAAGAAGTCTTACTTTTACGAACTAACGTACTTACATCAAGTGTTAGGAACTTCTCTTGTAGCCTTCGGTGACTACAATATAGACATGCTAATTTCGGCTCTGATGATGTACGTGGGAGCGCAGTGTGATCTTCTCTGTGACAATCTCAGAAGTCTGGGAGTCGAATCTAACGATTTTGGTCATAGGTTAAAAATGTGCATCATTCACCACAAAACAATTTTGAGGTAAAAATGTCTCCAAACTTACTAGAAATGTGTCCATAGACTTTTAGATTTGCTGAAAACTGTAATGTTTTTTTCAATTTTATCGTGTTAGGACAATTTTTTACGAGTTCTGCTTGTATGGCAATGGCTTTGTTTCGACTAGCTTTGGTAAGAAAGGTTTATATAACTATTATACTTCGAATTATGCTTTAGTTGTAGGTGACGCCGTCAAGTTTTGAGTTTTATACTCTTCTAACTTCGATTATATCAGTAGTTACGCAAATTTTTACCTACTGTTGGTTTGGTGACGAGGTACAAAGTAAGGTAATCGTGTGATGCAATATTTTTATTGGTGTTTTATTAATTTTGTTATTATAGAGCGAAGCAATTGCTTACGCAGCATTTGAATCGGCTTGGACAGAGCAGTGCTTATCAGATAAGAAAAATATGATGATTTTTATACGAAGAACTCTGGCTCCTATTAAGCTTTCGACTTTTAAGCTGTTTTATCTTACTTTGGAAACATTTGTCAAGGTATTTTTTGGATTCACTGTGTGACTGTTGTTTATACGTGTACATTTTTCTTTTTAGATTCTTAGATCAGCAGTGTCTTACTACACATTACTACGACAATTTGGTGGTTTGAAATAGTGATATAAAGTAGAACAAACGATGTAAAAATCTGCAGTTACCGTCTTATTCTTTTTTTTATAGGAACCGCTTAAAATGAATAGGAAACTGTTTTGAACAAAATTTAAGTGTCTAAAAATATTCGTTGTAGGCTTTCAAATACGGGTAACAGTACTCCTGTGTACTAATTTAGTGAAATTCTGGTTTAGAATCAATTGAACAAATTGTCAACATGGATAACGTATTTTAGAATTCTACCTTCGAAAAATTGGAAAAATATAAAATGGTTAATTTTTGGAGTTTGGCTAGACTTAGAAACGACAGAAAGAAAGTTTTTGTATTTTTTGAATAAGGGAAATACACAGCTGCATTCCTATTTTTATTTTTACCCAGTATCCCTGGAGAGCACCATCAAAACCAATAATCATAATTTTGTGATAATTGGAATTTTCCCAAGATTTTTTGAATGTATCCCACAAAAGCAACATCTATTAAAGTTTTACTTGAATTTTAAATTCGAAGAAGGCTTTTAATGCTACCTGCAGCACTGTTTAATTTAGAAGAATATCAACTGGACAATTAACTCTTAAGCTTAGGATGGAATGAGAAGACTGATTGAAATTACCTCAGTTTCGCTTATTAATTTTACGAGTTGTTATTTAAATATGAAGAGCTAACGATAACATTTAAATTAAGTAAATTAAAACTGAATACTCTAATTCAGTAATAACCTACTGTATTTTCTTCCTTCTTGTTTTATATTTAGTTTGATCTTTTAATTTCGTAACAAATTCGGGATCAGCATCTCTATATTCTGTACTGTATTTAAAAACGACAAACCACAAGAGACTATTGTACTAGGGTCCATTTGACAAACCCGTAATTTAATGTTTTCTCGACTTTCCGAAATCCCTAGTGTATGAAAAAATAGGCATTCCGTTTCAGGTAATCTTTGGAGAAATCGAAACACGGAAAAATCGAATAATTGTCGATTAAAAAAACGAAAAATATAAAAATCTCGAATTGAGAAATCAAAAAATCGAACAAACAAAATAATTTGGATTTACCTACTTGGAAGTACTTTGTTTTTAATTTTTTATTTTCTCAATTTTTCGTTTTTTAATTTTTTAAAATTAAAAAAATTTATTAAAACTGAAATTTTAAAAAATCAAAAAATCGGAAAATTGTAACACTGAAAAATTGAAAAATCAAAAAATAAAAGACTGAAAATTCGAAAAAGGAACAGTGAAAACCCAATAATTTAAAAATTGAGATATCGAAGGATTGAAAAATAAATAAACTCAAAATCGAAAAATTGTAATACTGAAACCTGAAAACCCTGATTCATTTTTTTTTTAATTCGAGAAAGTAAAAAATTGAAAAAACAAAAGCTAAAACTTCTATAAATTAAGCAATCAAAAATACAAAAAAAAATTAATTTCAAAATTCAAAATTTTAAAATGAAAACCGGAAAACTAAAAAATTAAGTAATTGTAAAAACGAAATATGGAAAAATTAAAAAATTGTAACATGGAAAAAAAGAAACACTGAAAAAACGATAAATGGAAAAGCCAAAAATTGAATAATAAAAACCCTTATAACTATTTGAAAAAAGTGAAAAATTAAAAATCGGCAAATTTAAAAATGGAAAAATTGAAGAAATGAAAAATTGAAAAATCAAACTTGCATTATGGAAAAATTGAAAAAATTGGCAAACTGAAAATTGGGTAACGAAAAAACAATTAAAAAATGGAACAACTGAAAAAAAGATAGAAACTGTAAAATCGAAAATTTGTAACACTGAAACCTGAAACAGTGATAAATTAAAAATCTAGGAATTGAAAAATCGAAAAAACGAAAAATTGTAAAATTCAACAGATAGAAAATCAAAAAATACAAAAATTTTACTGAAAAATGCAACAATTTCATAATGAAAATCGATAACCTTTGAAACGACTGAATTAATTGAGATATTCTAGATATATTTTGAGAATGTCGTGTAGATGGTGAAGCGCTAACTAAAATTTATGGGATCCTCGTCTCAAAATTTTGCAAAATAAAATATTTCTATACCTGTAGTTTATGAACCTGCCTTCATTTTTATTTATTATAGACAATCACATTTTTAAAAAATAAATTAAAATTGTTTAAAATATTATAATTGAAATAAAAACAAAAACCGAACGCTCTGAAATCTCGCATTAGTGGAACCTTGGGTGTTTCTAAGGCAGTACTGGTTGTAATTTCGGAAAGTGTTGCAAAAAATATTTACATGGGTTTAAAGAATTGGTCGAAAGTTATTTCAGCAGCACTTTCCTAGTCCCTGAAGTACGATAAAACATATCCAGCTTTTTTGAAAAATTACAAAATTTGATTTTACGGATTTAATTTTTTATGGGAATTCCAATAGGTTAAAATAAATACATTTAGATAATGTGAACGTAAATGTAAAGAAGCATGCTATGCTTCATTTGGATTGATGCAGTCTAGTACTATAATAACGGTTTTGTATTGCGAAATTTTCGGAAAAAGGGAGTGCGCCGTTCTGATTTAAAGTATAAAATAAAATGGGTCATTAATTCATTTTTTAAATCACCATGTATAAGCAACTTTAAAAAACATGAATGTAATGATAAATCACAAGTAGAAACTCATATTTTGCGCACTGTCGATAGGATTTATTCCGTAAAACTTTCAAATCTCGTCATACATTTTTTGGAGGCGACAAACGGATATATTTTGATTATAAATTTGCCATGCTTACGATAACTTTAAAGCGTTTAAAGATGTCAGAGCATACAAATATTCATTCTTTTTTTTTTTAATCACTCTGTATAAGCAGTTCTAAAAAATATGAATGGAATGAAAAATCACAAGTAGTATTATAAATTGATATTCAGAATTATATTGCAATACCCAATGACGACTATTAAATAACCGTAGCTAACCTGACCCGACTCGATCTGATCTTGTAGGACGTGACAGCTTCTATTTTATCGAGGAGTTTATATACATATTTGTAACTTTATATTATAACATAATTGCAACTATCTGTCAAACAAAAAGCGGACTCAACAGTTGTTAAATGACAACCAATTTCGAAATCAGGTACATTTAATAATGAAAAGAACATATACATATCAAAATTTTAGTCGAAAAAAGCTTACAAAAATAACAAACGAAAAAAAATACGGGAAGCTCGTAAGTGTATAAAACTATTAGTTAAAAAAATTAAAACAAAGGTCACTGACTGGCCCGACTGTTTTTGTTATCAGCTAAAGAATTCAGAGAATTGAAAATATATTTCATTCTGGAATTATTATTTTATAGGAACAAAGTTTTAAAATAAAAATACAAGGCGAAATCAAAATCACTCACCTTATTTTTATTTTTTTTCGTTATTTTCCCTTTTTATGAAAACCCGTTGGAAACTTTTTAGTGTTTTGTCGAAAATTTATCACTCTCTTGGAGTTGGACCAGTTCTCGTCAAAGCTCAGATTGTAGAGTGATCACCTTGACTGTAATAAAATAGTTTAGTGAATAAATAAATACTCGTACAAACATCTTGTCTTATTTTTAGTGTAATACCCAGAATATTAATTATAAAAAGCCCATCTGTCGAATTCTCTCACGAAGAACTCCGAACAATTATTACTTTATAAAAAAGCTAATTAGGAAATAATTCTTTCAACTCTTAATTATAGGTTTAGACCGTTACGACAAAAAATTTTTGGAAACAAAGGTAACTATACTCAAAAACTAAACTTTAAAAAACTTAATGAGCACCTAGTCTGTTCGTTAATTGCTGGTTTAAAGTGCGTGATTTGAATTATTTATAGGAAAAGCCGAATCGCTTGAAAGCTTATAAAAGCTTAAGACATTTTATTTTGCGGTGTTTTCAGTGGTTGTGTTTAGTAAGAATTGCATTCCCAGGCCTGAATTTTCTCAAGAATTCGTTAGAGCTCTGTAGCTGCAAATTCTAAAACGTTTTAAAACTAATTTTTAGTACATATGGAACGTTTTTTCTGGCAAGATGTGAGTAGCATGAATATCCATATTCTGCGAATTCTGGGCCCTTGGCCCAAAAACCACGAACTTTATAAACTAGACTTGTATTTTTTATATGCTACTATTTCCATCGTTTTCTTCATAACAGCGCACGTCTTGTTCCAAACAGTGAACATTTTTTTCATTTATTCTAACCTGGAAGCTTTAATTGAAACGATGCTTGTCTGTGTCGCGGAGTTTTTGGGAATTTTAAAAATATACACCTTTGTAAAAAATATTGGAATGTTGAAACGTTTGATGGTGGTTCTGGACATTGATATTTTTCAGCCGAGGAATGCTACACAGAGATTATTAGTGGAACCTGCTATTAAGTTGTGGAAAATTATCTTCCACACACTTATCGGAGCAGTTGTGCCTGCTTTATTTCTGTGGCTAAGTTTTCCTATTTTGAATGGCTCTGTCAAAAACTATGGTCTGCCACTTCCCCCTTGGTATCCTTACGATTTTAAGAAGTCTTGGTTTTACGAACTAACTTACTTGCATCAAATCTTAGGAACTTGTCTTGTAACTCTTGGTGATGACAATATCGACATGTTAATTTCGGCTTTGACGATGTACGTGGGAGCACAATGTGACATTCTCTGTGACATTTTGAAAAGTTTGGGATTTGAATCAAGCGATTTTGGTCTTAGGTTAAAAATCTGCGTCACGCATCACAAAACAATTTTGAGGTAAATATGTCTACAAACTTACTAGAAATGTGTCAACAGACTTTTAGATTTGTCGAAAAGTGTAACGTTTTTTTCAATTTTATCATGTTGGGCCAATTTTTTACAAGTTCAGCGTGCATGGCAATGGCTTTCTTTCGACTATCTTTGGTGAGAAAGTTTTATAGATTGTACTCCGAATTATGCTTAAATTGTAGTTGAAACCGTCAAGTTTTGAGTTTTACACTCTTTTAACGTCGATTATATCAGTAGGTATTCGTGTGGCGCGATATTTTTATTGGTGTTTTATTACTTTTATTATAGAGCGACGCAATTGCTTACCCGGCATTTGAATCGGGTTGGACAGAGCAGTGTTTATCAGATAAGAAAAGTATGATGATTTTTATGCGCAGAACTCTGGTTCCTATTAAGCTCTCGACTTTTAAGTTGTTTTATCTCACTTTGGAAACATTCGTCAAGGTTTTTTTTTAGTTCTATGTGAGTGCTAATTATACGTGTATATTAATATTTTTAGATCCTTAGATCAGCGGTATCTTATTACACAGTACTGCGACAATTTAGTGGTTTGAAATAGAGCTAAATACGTGAAATTCTGTAGTCGTCTGAAGACATAATTTAGAACAACAAATCGCAAGAGTTGAGTTTCATAAGACTAAATTTAGTAAAAATTTAAGATTCCTTAGTATCTTTATATCTAGATGTTGAATTAAATGCTATGAATAAAAAAAAAATTTTGGAAACGTTAATTTTATGGCCATCAATCCACTACATGTGGATAAAATTATTTACTTAACAAATCAATACATTTTAGCAGTGCGAGTACAACACAAATCATTTTTTATTTAACCATTAATAAAAAATTCATTACATCTGCACGAAGCAGTCCTTACACTTTGGAAATAAATAACAATAAAATTCTGTCTCATATATGACCTAGCTGATTACTAATTTATGTATCAAAGAATTCTGCATACCGATGATGGGTTGCAATTATGTTTTTAATATTTAATGAAGCGTCTACGGACGCTTTGTTTGTGTGATGTGGGTGATCATCCGTATATATGGAAAAAAGACAGGAAGAAATTCAGTTTTAGCTGTGGCATTGAATAAGTAGGTTATATTTTAACGTATTTATCAGAATTCTACAACTGCATCAGGTATCGAAAGAAAACAAATTAATACAGCAATGATATTTTAATTTCAGGTTTTACTTAGAAAATCGTGAGGATGGAAAAATTCGATTGGCATCAAAAACTGAAGCCGTTGTTATTTTTGTTTAAAATCGTAGGCCTGTGGCCAAAGGAGCAAGAAGTTTACAGCTTCAACTTCTACACATTGTACACAGTTCTGTCTTTTATTTTGTTTGATCTGTGCCACAATTTTTTTCAAATAGTACAACTATTTCTGATCCCGATGGACTTAGAAGCTCTCGCTGGAACCTTGTTCATTTCGGTCCAAGTAGTGGCAGTGGTTAAAGTTTTCGCTTTCATAACACGGATGAAAATGATTAAAGAGTTAATGCGAAAACTGAACGATGACATCTTTCAACCCAGAACATACGAGCAAAGAGTAAGAGCAACCGCAGCTTTACAATTTTGGTGGAGGATTTATGTGGGATATCAAATCTCTTTAGCTTGTACTGTGGTTCTATGGAGCAGTTTTCCACTTTTGGATAAATCGTACAAGGAATCTCGTTTACCTCTTCCGGCTTGGTATCCATACGACTACACCAGAAGTCCTTTTTACGAAATCACCTACTTTTATCAGAGTTTCAGTCTGGCTTTTCTTAACGTGTGTAACTCGAATTTAGATATGTTTGCGGTGTGTTTGATGATTTATATTGGAGCTCAGTGTGATATTTTGTGTGATAATCTAAAATTACTCAGAGGATCTGACTCAAAAGGAAGGTATCATCATTTTAACGAGGAGTTAATCAAGATCATAAAGGAACACACGGAAATTTTGATGTGCGTAAGGTCAGTGTTAATTATCAGACAAGTAATTATTAATTTTTAGCTTCGTTACAAAGTTTAATATATTTGTTGACAAAATCCTGTTAACTCAGTTTGTGACCACAGCTACATCTTTATCACTGTGCCTTTTTCAGCTCACATTAGTAAGTATGAAGTTTTAGTGGTTTTCATAAAAATATATATTTTAGATACCTCCTCTTACCAGCGAGTTTTTCTCTATGATAAGTGCTGTAATGTCTGCCACTTTTCAAATTTTTTTATATTGTTGGTATGGAAATGAAATCGGCGCTAAGGTACGTAATTGTCTTTTTTCGTAACCCGATTATTTTTTTTTGTTTAGAGCAGCAAAATTACGTATTCTGCTTTTGAATCTGATTGGATTGGCGCTTCATCTGAAGCACAAAGGACATTGCTGATTTTTGTCTTACGAACACATCGGCAAATTACTATTAAAACATTCAATTTATTTCCATTATCGTTGGGTACTTTTATGACGGTAAGTCGATTTGGTGTGGTGAAAATTTTGAATTTATTGTAAAAATTGCAGATTATGAGAACAGCGTGGTCATATTTTGCCGTGTTGCGGCAGGTAAATATCCCAGAACAAAATTAATTTGCATTATTTTGATTATTATAAATCTGTTAAACTTATGAATAAGTATTAGTAAGAAAAAGACAATTCGTGTTATATTTATTAAATTACGTAGTTTGAAGGGGCAAATGTAATTAGTGATTATAAATGAATACACAGCATTTGAAAAAAGGTGAGCTGTCATATTTTGGAATTTTAATTCAACTATTGAAATTTTGCTAAATAGTATGCTTCTGTACTTGTAGTTTATGAATCTGCCTTTACTTTTTAAATTATTTACTTATTATAGACAATAATCCATTCATACTTTTGTAATGAAATCAAGTCAAATAATTTGTTCAATGTGAACTAAAAGTGTAGTAAAATTCCCATTTATTAAACCATATTTGACTCACCAAATTTTTCCTTGTTATTTCAACATTGCACAATTTTCGATAAAACCATTCTTACTTCAGGTGAATGTTTCTCTAAATTTTATTAAAGGCTAGGAAATAAACAGTTATTTCCAGGACATTATTATACAACTCCTTTTACTATCTAGTACTAGGTCTCTAATTTTCTCGTCATTAATATTAGATCACAAAATGTAGCTCTGGCTACGTCAAATAGGAGCGTGGAGACCACTTTCCGAAACTTACTCATTTGGTAGAAAAATTAAAATAACGTGCCTTTAGCCTAAGGAAATAAAAGGGCAGATAATAACACACCACTTCAGCAGTCAAACACATAATTTAGTAGCTCAGAATCAACACAGTAGTGCAGCAGTTAGACAGAGTGTAACAACGTATTTATATAAAAGGTATAAAAGTGTGGGTGACTAGTTCAATTTCTTACTCCCGAACCTTAAGTACACCGGTAGAACGAATTATTAAATGTGATGAATACCTTCGACTGGAAAAGTGCCATTCACCTAAATCTAATTGTTCTGAAAAGTGTGGGTTTGTGGCCAAAAGGCAACGGATTGTACAAGCGTGACATTTACCTAGTTTATGCCCTCTCATTAGCAATTTTTCTTGTGGGTGGATTTAACCTATCACAACTAATCAACATCTACTTCATCTACACCGATTTTGAAATCTTGACGTCGACGATTTTATTGACGACCACTAATGTTTTGGCACTTATGAAGATGTACCTTTTCTTAAAGAATGTGCGAAAAATCAAGAAACTTTTCAACACTTTAAATACTTGTGAATTTCGTCCGAAAACTCTAAAAGAGTTTGAACTGGTTAAACCTTCTTTGACAAGATGGAAAAAGATTTATATTTGGTATAATACAATTGTAATTTTTAATTTATTGATGTGGTCAATAGCTCCAATTTTGGGTGGTTTGGACCAACATCGGCTACCTTTCGAAGCTTGGTTTCCTTTTGATACTCAAGCTTTACCAAATTATGCAGCGGCTTACATTTATCAAATCGTCTGTATGTGGCCTATGAGTTTGTGTAATATTAATCTGGACTGCATAATAATGGCGTTGATGATGTTCCTGTATGTTCAGTGTGACTTGTTGTGTCATAGTTTGAGAAGTCTTAAGTGGGATAAATTTGATGAGGAGCTCGTGGAATGTATCAAAAGACATAAATTGATATTAGGGTAATTTTGCAGTATTTTTTTTTTGTATATGACAACATTCAACTAGTTTGTTTTAGCTTCGCGAAAACTAGCAACGATTTTTTCAACTGGATTATCCTAGGACAATTTGCTACCAGCACTTCCGTAATTGCTTTAATTATGTTTCAACTAACTCTGGTAAGTAAATTTGATACGTTAATGAATTAATTTCGTTCGTTGTTTTAAGGTTAGTCCAGTAAGCGGTGAAGGTTTATCACACATGTTCTACATCCATGGAATTACAACGCAAATTTTTTTGTACTGCTGGTTTGGTAACGAATTGGAAATTAAGGTTCTTACAATACAATAATTTAGTAGAAAATTCAGAAATGAGAAACAGATAATTTTGTTAAGCTATTTTGTCAAATTTCAAATAAGAATTTATGTATTTCCATACGTTATAGCCACTTGGATAATTGTTTGACCGTTTGCCTGTATTTTTTTAGAGTAGTCGGATTCCATACGCTGTATACGAATCGGATTGGATTTGTCAGTCTTTGAGTGTTAAGAGAAATATAATTTTCTTCGGCATTAGGTGTCAACGTCCCATTAAAATTACCGCAATCAAGCTTTTTTCGCTGTCTCTGCAAACGTTTCTTTCGGTAAGGTTTTGGAAAAAATTGTTAATATATTTAATTCAATCTAAAATTTTTCAGATCATGCGATCAGCGTACTCCTACTTTGCTTTATTATCAAATGTCAATATAAAGTGAATGTTGCCATATATTTCTTAGGATTGTTACATAGAATACAATGTAAAAAGCCCAAAGTAGACATCGTGGTAAATAAAATTTTATTAAATATAAGGAGTTTCTTTTTCAAATTAAATTAATAAGTTCAATTAAGTCTCGTCACAACGAAAAATAAAACATAAAGCACCAAAATTTTGTTCTGAGACACCGTAGGTATGGGCCAGTCTAAAGGTAATGTTTTTTTAAAGGACGTCATTAGCTTTTGTTTGATATTTTAACAGTGTGTCTAAAAAAATTGGTTTAACCATTTCTGAGAAAATTAATAAAATGTATCATTAATTTTTATACACACCAAGTGAGTTAAGCATATATTATTCCAGTAAATAATGTGCTAGAGTCAAGTGGTAGAATACAGTATTTTCTTCAATTTTGACGAAATAATGCCTCATTGAATTTCAAATTTAATTTTGCAAAATTGAACATAAAAAATCCGAGAAAGGCACGATTTAATGTCGCAGCAACCTCTCGGTGAAAATTGTGAACAACTTGGTTCTGTGAAAATTGCTAAAAATGAATGATAATTTCGATAAACAAGATGCTTATGTCCCCGAAGCTACATTTTATTTTTCCATGAGTGATTTAAAAATCTAAGCGTTATTAAAAACTTATTTGTCGGGGTGCTAAAGTTTTAATAAAGACAGTTCAAAACGTCAAAACTGAATAAATAAGAATTAAGATTTAAGAAATAAACAGTAAATTACTAAATCTTCGGACGGATTTTCCACAAATATTTATTTCTTATTGATTTGACGTAACGTTGTCAGTTTGCTAGTGGGTAAATTGATAGTCTTGGTTAAGCTTATACAATTTTTGGAAAATAAATATTTTATTAAAAAAATTTCAATAATTATTCCAATAACAACAAAATGAAAAAGTATATAAAAACATGCGAAATAGAGGACTTCGTAAATCAGACTTGGTTAATTAATCGTTGCACTGAAGATTAATAAAAAAATAATACAGTAAAATATTCGATAATGAAAATAGTAGACTGCCTATTACCGATAGCATTTGACATTACTTGTTTTTTTAACATATTTATTATTTATATAATATTATTTAGAATAATTGCAAAACAGTCAAGTAATAGCCGTTTTGCAATAAAACTGGTAAAACAACAAAAAACTCTATAATTTGTTATGATATTGTCCATATTCTCTTTAGATATACTCGTATAGGGTTTATTTTTCATAAACCCATTCACGTATTTTTTTATAAGTCTGAAGGACCAAAAATGCTAGCCTTTATTATAACCGAGCGTTATTTTTCGAAAATACATATTACTTAGATGTGTAAACTTTAGTACAGAAAAAAACACAATACTCGATAGTGTTTCCCCTGAAAATTTTCGTCTCAATTCTTGAACTGGATATAGTTTGCAAAACAATTTATCCACGTGGTATATTTCACCTACTTAGAAATAATCAATATCACCTGCAGATAACTCTACACGGTAATAGTACACTATCAACAGGTGGCTCTAGCGTTATAAAAATGTAAAAAACGGAGCTTATTTAATTAATAATTACAATTTTGAGTACAAATATCATTAAATTAATTGTCACACTAGTGTTAAAATAAACTGCTACAACTGCTGAAGGACTAACAAACTTGCAACTACCAGTATAGTGATTGGTATTAATCCGTAACGGATATTAAAAATGGTAATTAATGTAAAAACGAAAATATTGTTCACATTATTATTTCCCGAGCGTACGTTACGGAAGCATTGTAATAGAATTCATTCAGCGAATGGCTACTCTCAGGTTTTCTCGACGTTTCACGACTCCTAGAGTACGAAAAATTCCCGTTTCAGTCAGTCTGTCTGTCTGCCGATTTTTTAATTAGTTAGATAATCTCTGAAAGTACAGGACAATTGTTGACATATTTTACATGTGTGTTAAGAATGTGGTATAGATGATAATTCGCCAACCAAACTTTATCTAGTCATCTCCACCAAAAATATAATGGCGGCACATCAGAATTTTGCACATTGGAGTATTTAATTTTTGTAAAATAATATACTCATTCACTTGTGATTTATGAGTAAATCTCGATATTTTATCGTGAACATCCAGATTTTTGAAAAAAAAAAAAATCTAAATTGAATAACAACATTTTACAATTTAACTTGAAACCACAGAACTCTGAAATATTGCAAAAGCTTGAAGATTATCGTAAGTATAATAAATTTTTCATAAAAATTTTTCCGTTTAGCTCTCCCAAAGTAGTGGTTACCTCTTAAAATTTAACCGAATAAATCCTAACTAAAATGTGAAAAAATATTATTTGTCTTAATCAATCTATTTTTTAGAACATCAAAAAATTTTCTAATGGAAAAACTCACATAAAACATGTGTGTTGCATGCTTCTTTACCTTCACTCAACGCTATGCACATATCTTTATTTTAACTTCTAGGGGTTATTGTATCACTCATAGACAAAAATATGAAAAATTTTTAAATTTCTATAAATCAAACTGCACATTTGTGTAGGCCCAAAATACTTGAGTTTCTGGAACGGAATAATATTTTTCATTATACACTCCCTTCAGAAAAATTCAAATTTCTTTCAAATATCTGTGATGATAATAAAGTAAAATTCACCAAATCAAACAAACATTTTTCCAGAAATTTCAATATGTTTTACTGCACTTCGAGGATTGAGAAGTCCTGTCTAAATAACCTTGGACCAATTTTTGGTTCATGCGTGGATTTAAAACATTTTTATAAAATTGAGATCCAAAGTGATGAAATTTATTAAAAGAAAAATTGTTAGTTGCTGAGGTAATTTACTGGTATTTTTTTTTATTTGGCTAGGATGAACTATAAATATTTAATATGATATACATAATCTGTATACTACAGTAACCCGGCGCCTCCACCTTTTTTTAAGCAAACATATTTGATTTTTTGTTATTAAAACATCAAAACTCATTCTTAAATTTTAAATTAAATTTGCTTATTCTTTAGCAACAGGAAACATTTCAGTTGTTCGATGAATTGAAACTATGTACTTAATTTTGATATTGTCCATCCCATAAGCCTTTTTTATAGGTTGGAGGACACAACAGAATCACAGAAAAAAAATTATCAGGCAATCATGAAATTTTTGCAGAATTAAATAGATTAAAGTCGCACAGTTTTTTGAATAAAAATTTATAATAATGTGTGTTTTTAAATTTAATGAAAATTTAAACTGAGTCTTTATTTTGGTAGATTAAAAAATGTATGTAAACTGTTATTCTCAAACCTTGAACAGCCTTCTGTCTATGGTCAATACATACTTCCAATACATCAAACCATAATTTACAACTTGTGCATTTTCCACAAACTTTATTACAGCATTACAAAATTCTTTGTTATCACTAAGCAAAATATAAAATTTCATGTATTAGTGGGTTTATTGTTAGGTGCCAACATTTAACAATTGTCTTAGTACATGTACACGGGGACCAACAATCAACTTGTCGTACTCATTGTTTAACATGACTGAATTTTATTAAAGGTCTGGAAATAAACAGTTATTTTCAGTACATTGTGATGCAACTGATATTAATGAAAAGCCTGCTTCCTTACCTTTAATATTGTCGTCATTAATATTAAATTACGAAGTGTAACAACAAACCCGGTAGACAAATAATTAATAGGAACTTGCAAAGGGAGCTACTATTTTACAAAATTTACTTAACTGGTAGAAAAAAATAACACAACATATGTTTAGCATAGGGAAATAAAGCGGTACATAATAACACACAACTACTGAAAAGACCCAAACACATAATTTTGTAGCTCAGACGCAACACAGTAGTGCTGACAGCTAGACAGAGTGCAACAAAAATATATAAAAAGCTTAAAAGTCTCAGTTGAACAATTGTGTGTGTTGTCAAGTGGCTAAAACTTATTTCGATAATGAACGATTATTATTAAATATGATTTACGAAGTCGATAACTTTGACTGGAAAAATGTCATTTACGAAAACCTTCTAGTTTTAAAAAGTGTAGGTTTGTGGCCGAAAGGCAACGGATTGTACAATCGTGATGTTTACTTAGTTTACGCCCTCTCATTAGCAGTTTTTCTCGTCGCTGGATTTAACCTATCGCAACTAATCAACATCTACTTCATCTACACCGATTTTGAAGTTTTAACGTCGAGTATTCTATTGATGACCACTAATCTTCTGGCGATCACGAAAATGTGCCTCTTCTTAAAAAATGTTCCGAAAATTAAGAATATTCTGAACACTTTAAACACACTGGATTTTCGCCCGAAAACTCCAAGCCAACTTGAACTAATAAAGCCTTCTTTGAAAAGGTGGAAAAGAATTTATATTTGGTATCACACGGTTGTAATTTTCAATTTATTGATGTGGTCAGTTGCTCCCATTTTGGGTGATTTGGAAGAACATCGACTACCTTTTGCAGCTTGGTTTCCTTTTGATACTCAGGTGTTACCAAATTATGCAGCTGCTTATGTTTATCAAATGGTCTGTATGTGGCCTATGAGTGTATGTAATATGAATCTGGACTGCATAGTAATGGCATTGATGATGTTGTTGTGTGTCCAATGTGATCTTTTGTGTTACAACTTAAGAAGTCTTCATTCACTATCATTTGATAAGGAGCTCGTGGAATGTATCAAAAGACATAAGGTTATTGTAAGGTAATTTATATGCTAGTTGTTGTATAGTGATGATGAAAATAGTTTGTTTTTAGCTTAGCCAAAACCAGCAATGATTTTTTCAACTGGATTATCTTAGGGCAATTTGCTACCAGTACTTCAGTGACTGCGTTAATTATGTTTCAGTTAACTTTGGTATGTATTTACTTATCTATAGAAATTTATATGTGATTAGTTTGATTAATGTTGTTTTTTTATTCAGGTTAGTCCAGTAAGCGGAGAAGGCCTATCTCACATGTTCTATATCCACGGAATTACAACGCAAATTTTCTTGTACTGCTGGTTTGGAAACGAGTTGGAAGTTAAGGTTGTTCACAAAAATTTAGCATTATTTTTGTTTTAATATCTGTATATGTTTGCTTTGTAGAGTAGTCGTATTCCAAATGCTGTATACGAATCGAATTGGATTTATCAACCTCCAAAAGTTAAGAGAAACATAATTTTCTTCTGCATTAGATGTCAACGTCCCATTAAAATTACCGCCATCAAGCTGTTTTCGCTGTCTCTGCAAACTTTTATTGCTGTAAGGTTTTGTATAAAATCAACTTACTTAAGTCAAACTAAATATTTTCAGATTATGCGATCAGCGTACTCCTATTTTGCCTTGTTATCGAATGTCAATGCATAGTCAGTACCACAAGAGTACGAAAATAATTCCTAAATGGCCCTGAGTAATACTGTATTAATTTTGTTGCTATAGTTCCATGTGGCTGTTATTTTGTATCTGTGTTTATAAGTAGTACAGCTTTAGAATGCTAAAGAGTACATGTAGATCGATAATGAAAACTTTGAAATCTAAAAGTTTGTTTAATTTAACCCTTATACCGCGGTCGAACGAAAATAAGAAGTTAGTTTATTTGAAACTAAAAATAATGTTAAGTAAATGTAAATGTTTTGGATGTGTTAATGTCTGTTCGATATTTCATATGAAATGTGTAATATTCAATCAACAGAACTTTAGGATAGCGTGTATCAACACACGTCACCGGGGCCAGTAAACTATAAAAATGATAGATAAAGAAAATACAACAGTCAATAACACGTTTCCTGAAAATTGCCGTTTTATTTTTTCTGCTATACAGCAATTGCGAACAATTTATAGACGCAGTGTTTCACCTACTTACGAATAATCAATATCGCGAGCAGATAACTCTACAGGGTAATACTGCACTGCAACAGGTGGTTTCAGCATGCTAAAAATGTTTAAAATGCAGGAGATCTTTTGATTTAAATATAGAGGATTTTTAAAGTAAAGAATGGTCCAAGTATGAAGCAGATCCTAGTCATAAATTACCGAAAACCTCAGTTAGTTCTTTGTTTCAAGTACATGTGTTCTTAAGAGTTTAAAACTACCTTTAAAATTCAGGTTTTTGGCAAGCGCATCGACTAAATTTATGAGAAAAAATAATATGTTAATAAGGCCCTCACAAACTCCCTTCCGCTTAGAAAATACACTGGCAAAATTTGAAATTAATTTCTAGTGGGTCTTCGAATTTTTGGAAAATTAATACAATGATAAAGCTGTAAAGCACTTTAGAACTAAGTTAAGTAAGTGATTGAAAAAATTAATGTTTTTATGATGGCAGCTTCTCAGCTGAATTATTGTTAGATACATTTAAATTAGAAATTAGACACATTTAAATTCTTTGAAATGGACACTAGGGAACCCAACATTGTTTCGAATTCTGTTGAAAGCAAAACCCTAGAGGATCCTAGGACACTTTTACCTTTTTCCAAATGTTTTAGATTTCTTTAAATCTGTTTTAAAAACGAAACATTAATGGCATTTCCAGTTCACTTTCAGAAACAACAGCAGGAGTGCCCAAAGTTTTAAAATTTTCAAAATAAGGGTGTGGGGACAAAAAATCTGCACAAATTTCAAACTAGAATAACTGTATTATAAAAGCAGGTATTAATAAGGTGATCAACAACATTTATAAAAACAACTTTAAAGAACACAATCTGCACCATATCTGCTTGCTTTACGAATTTTTGTTTTAACACGGCGCATTAAATTTGTAAAAGCCGATATTTTTGTTTGCCGTATTTTCAGCAGTATACGCTTCTTTAATTCTGCATGTATCGAGGCTTCCCATCCATTTTCGTACACATTCCTCTTTAGGTTTCTCCAAAAACGTTCAATTGGGCGTAGTTGAGGTACGTTGGGAACATTTTTGTCCTTAGGGATAAAAGGAATGTTTAACTCATTATATGCAGCAATAACGTTAGCTGCGTAATGAGCTGTTGCCATGTCTGGCCAAAATACAAAATTGCCATCCGAATGCTTTTCTCTTATAAAGCGGACAAGTCGAGACCTAATGCACTGTTTTTCAGAAATATCTGCATTAACAGAATTTCCAGATGGGCAAATAAACGCAGTAGAATGTCCACGTGAAGAAATGGCCAACCAGACCAACAACTTGGACTGAAATTTTTTATGACGCTTGAATTTCACTTTATCATCTACTTCTTCTCCTTCCTTGCAATAGAAATGTTTATTGTTAGCAGTATCGCTACCATCAAAAGTGAAGTAGGATTCGTCATCGATGATTATTTCAGTTCCATTTGAGGGGGAAAAAGCGGATTCAGAAAGATGCCTTAATTTTCGTTTTTGTTCCAGCTTTTGTTTTTCTGAATATTTGGGGGCGGATTTTCGTGTTGCAAGCTTGACATTGTTCTCCTTTAATATGTTGCTAACATACTTTTTGTCAATTTTAAATTTCCGTCCAAGTTTTCTTAGTGAAACACCAAGTTTACCGTGACTTTGATTGACTAAGGCTTCTCTCTTCTTCTGGGGCATTTTTCTTGCTGGTCTTCCGCTTCCTACTTGTCTTTCTACCGAATTCCCATTCTCTACTCTTCTGCAAATGCTATAAGTTGTCCTTTTTGATATCCCCATTTGGAAGAAGTGATTAACGGTGAATGACTTTTTTAAATGCATATGCCTTCTATAAAATTCGGCAATCACAGATCGGCGATCATTTTCATTTAAGTGTTCCATTATTACAAAAAATATTGAAACTTTCAAGAGGAACTAGGCATAACAATTTTTAACAACTGTCAAAAAATGTCATAACGTCAACCGTCATTTTTCTCAAAGCTAACTCGATTTTCGGTAAATTAAAATTTGTGCAGATTTTTTGTCCCCACACCCTTAGGCACTGGCCTTCAAGGTTCTTTCAAAGTCTTTTGAAAACAAAATACTACAGGACCTTTAAGTACTTCATCTTTTTCCAAAGATCTCTAAGTTTCATTAAATCTCTTTTAAAAATAAAACACCAGTGACCGCCAAGATTCTTCTAATTTTTTCCAAAAATTAAATAAGAAGGGTCTAAAAATTCTTTTAAAATCTTCAAAAAAGAAAATAAGGACCCCAAAAGTCTTTTAAATTCTCTTGAAAATAAAACACTAGATGTCTTCAGACAACTTTTATCTCTTTTCGAAAGTCCCCAAATTTTTTAAAATTTCTTTTAAAAACAAAACACTAATGGTCTTCAAGATTGTTTGGTCAAAAACAACATCAGTTGTTCTAATATATTGCAAAAATCAAACATTAGTATCCCCAAAATTTTTGTAAATTTTTCAAAAAAACTACAAGGACCACACATTTATTTCAAAAACCGAAGGCTCCAAAATTCAAGGTTCTTTCAAATTTTCTTGAAAACAATAGAAAACGTGACCCTAAGGTACTTTTATCCCGTTTCAGATATCGGCAAGCATGTCTAAATCTCATTTAAAAACAGAAGACAAATGGTCTACCAGATTCTTCCCAATACTCTTTCTTTCAAAAATCAAACACCAAGAACCCCTACTATTTTTTAAATTCTTCCAGAAGGATCCTAAGGACCTCAAAAGTACTTTTATCTCTTTCCAGAGATCTCCAATCTTTTTAAATCTCTTAAAAAACACCAACAGCCTCCAAGATTCTTTCCACTATTTGTTCAAAAACAACATCAGATATTCCCAAAGTTCTTCTAATTTCTTTCAAAAACCAAACACCAGCGGCCCAAAAGTTCTTTTAAATTCTTCGAAAAAGACACGAGGAACGCGAAGGTTCTTTTATCTCTTTAAATCTCTTTTAAATACAAAACACCAAGAATTACTAAAAGTCTTTTAAATTCTGAAACAAAATACCAGGAACTTTGGGAGTTGTGTTAAATTCGTTTTGACATAAAACACCAACGGACCCCCAAAGATGTTGTTTTCAATTGTTTCAAAAAGACATCGAGGATGCCAAGTTTTTCAAATTCTTCCATAAACAAACCATCGCCAAGATTCTTGAAAATTAAGAAAAAAAAAAAAAACACCGGCAACCCCAGAATTTTCAATTTTTTTAAAAAGTGAAAGAAAAAAAATTTAATTATTTCCATTCATTTTGGGTCCACATGTAATTTGATTAAATGAAGATTTAAATTTCTAACATAATGCCATAATTATTACAAGGTGAAATTTTAGAGGAGCAGTATATTTCAATTTTTTACTTTGTATAAATTCGGTAAAAATGTACTTTAATATACAAAAAAAAAAATGTTTTCCAACAGTAATTACAAAGTTACTTGATGTTATGGAATTATTTTAATTTGTTGTTACTACAATTTGTAGCCCGGCGCATCCACCATTTTTTTAATTTAATTTTTATAAATTTTGTGCAAACATTGTAACACAATTAACTTTTTTTTTCTACTTAAATAAATTTAAAATGTCTATTAATTAGTCAGTTAATCACATACTTTATTGTTGTTTTAAAATATACATATAAATCTGTGATTGTAAATTTATCCATTTAGTAAACATGTATTTTTATCACACCTTGACCTGGACTATGACGTGTCGTCCTTTACCTATTTTCAATACTTTAACACATTACTAAAACTTATGTGCTACCTGACCATTTTCCACAAGCTTTATTACAGACTTATACGGCACTCTGTTATTTTTTTTAATATTAACAGGCTACACATACATTACTGCTAAAACAACTCCTTGTTTGTCTTTAATTTTGTCGATATTAATAATAAACAAGGCTATAGTGACATTGGGATGCAAATGTACTATCAATGAAAACACGATAGCATGTTTGAAAATAAAAGCATTAAAGAGTATCTCTGAACAAATGCCAGAATTTATCGCAAAATTACATATTTTATCATGCACGACAAACAGATAATTTTGCCAAATTGACAGCTTATTGGCGGAGGATAAATTGGAGACGTTTGATTGGTCGACAAGTAGTGTTGGTGTTGATATAAGAAAGAAAATTATTCGCCAGTTTAGTGTTCCTCTTAAGCTCGGTTGTCTTGACAGATAATAAATTTCAGTGAGTCGGCGTACTAATTATGGATAAGTTTGACTGGAGAAAAACCATCAACGTTAATCTTGTAGTGTTGAGATTCGTTGGACTGTGGCCCGCAGGTTATGAAGTTTATAAAATGGACCTTTATTTATTATATTCCACATTTACAAGCATTACGATTATTGGTGGACACAACTTGTCGCAAATTGTGAATATTTATTACGTCTACGCCGACTTGGAAGCCTTATCAGGAACGATATTTATAGCAGCGACTAATATTTTCGCCGTAGTCAAGAGATATTTCTTCATACGAAACCTCAAACTCATCAAAAAATTATTCATCACACTTAACACTTACCAGTTCCGACCTACAATTTCTCGTCATTTGCCACTGGTGAATCGGTCTGTTAGAAGCTGGAAGACTGCGTATTTTAGCTTCTGTCTCATTGTTTATTCGAATGTGACTTTATGGTCGATTGTACCAATTATAAATCATTGGGTGAAAGACCACAAGCTACCTTTTGAAGCTTGGTATCCTTTCAAGACAGATTTGTCTCCAAATTATGAACTGGCCTACGTTTATCAATTGATCTGTATATGGTTTATAACCGTAAGTAATCTGAATCTGGACACCTTCATCTACGCATTTATGATGTTCATCGGAATTCAGTGTGATATATTAATAGATGATTTGAAGCACCTTGAAGACGATAAGAATTTCGGTCGGAAATTAACCAACTGCATTAAACATCATGAAGAAATACTGAAGTAAGATTATCATAGTTTTCTCTCTAGAGTGGGTGTAACAATTTTCGTTGCAGGTTCGCCAAAAATAGCAACGATTTTTTCAATTATATTATTTTGGGGCAAATTGCCACGAGTACAGCAGCATTAGCATTGGCTATGTTTCAGTTAAGTTTGGTAAATATCCCGTTACGTTGTTGCTATGACTAATTTTTTTTTCTAGGTTGATGTTTCCAGTGGGGTTGCATATACTCATGTTGCTTACATTTTTGGAATGAGTGCCGAAATATTTTGGTACTGTTGGCTTGGAAATGAAGTGGAACTTAAGGTTGATTTTTTGACTAAAGTTTGAGTAAAATAATTACGTTAAGTTTTAGAGTGCACAAATCCCGTACGCGGTTTATGAATCTCAATGGATTGGTCAGTCAGAGTCGGCTATTAGAAATATAATAATACTATGTCAACGATGTCAGAAGCCTATTAAAATAACAGCAATTAATTTATTTACTCTTTCTCTACACACTTTTATTGGGGTGAGTATTACGCTTGAAAAAAAATTAAATAAAACAGAATTTTTTCAGATTTTGCGATCCGCTTGGTCCTATTTTGCAGTGCTGTCAACTGTTAACAATAAATAAGAAAGGGAAGAGAAAATATGTTACACCTATAATTGTTACTACCTTGTAAGTTGTGAAAAATTTTGTGCATAAATGTAGTGTTAATAAATTTTATTTAATTTTTTATTTTATCTATCCCGAGCTACATCTAAAGAACGGCTAAGATTTAGTTTATCTGAGTAACAGCTACAAAATTTTTTTGTTATGGTAGGGTAATCCTTTATTAATGGAAAACCCTCTATATTTTTATACAGGGCTTTTATAAATAATTCTAAGGGCATAGTTGGCCATGGATTTAAAAAATCCCGCTTCGCTGAAATGATACCTCATTGTGACAGTTCTCACTCGTCACATTAATGTCTAGTGCCATTTGTAACCTGCCATTTAAAGTCATCCTTTTAATTGTTTTAACGTTTTTCAAGTGCGAATTCCAGTAATTTTCGTTGATCGAAGTTAAAATAACAAAACAGTCGTTTTCAAATCTCTTGGTGGTTGCGTGGAAGAACTTCAGTTTGTGAGGAAGTTGTTGACGAAAGGATGTTATAGAACTTTTTGAAATTAAAAAGAGAGCGAGCATGTGCTTTGAACAAAATGATGAACATTCTCCACATTTACTGGATGTTTAACCGCAAGAAATGTGCTGCTTTTTATTGTAATGTATTAGTTTTATTTTTTAAAAAGGCATAAAGCTGTTTATTCTGACTCCTTACACTTTATAACCACTGTTTATTTTTGAAATTCTGTGCGACGTTGCACAGTTATTCCAATTTTCCTGAAATATTTTAGTAGTGCAAAAGTTCAGAAAAAATTCCAATAGATATAAAATATTATATTATTTTTCTTTGAATATGTTGCTGCGTCTCCTAAAAGTAGTAAAAAGTTGCAATAACCATTAACTTCAAATACAGAAAATACTTAACAAAAATAAAAGAAATTAAAAAACAGAATAAGGTGTAACAAAAAATTCAAGGTGTTATATTTGAAAAAATTTAAATATCGGTTTTTGAAAATTGCAACAATTTATTTTTTGTCTAAATACTCTGTATATTAACACTCACTGTCGCAACGTCATATCAAAATTTGAGAAATACATTGCGCTTATAAAGCCTAAGAAGAGGTTAATCTGAATGTGTAAAAATAAATGCGGTATTCTATTAAAAAAAAAACTAAGTTAAAAGCAGAACAGAGTCAATTAAAACTAATTTTAGTGCCTTGTAGTCAAAAAACCGTAGAGCTTCGATCTTTAGTTTATTTTCTATTTCTAATAATTAATGAAATGTGGAAGAGCGTGGGCGACCTTGGTGACTCACCCTGTATATAAGACTTTGCACTTTTCGTACTAGGTTCCATCCGGATTACTTTCATGTTATCTCAACAATTCGTACCCCTGGATTAGGAAATTAGGTTTCCCGTTTTCGCCAGCCTGTCCGAAAATAATCTCCGAAACTACTGGACCGATTGTTGTCAAATGTTAGATCAATGTTAGGAATATCGTGTACATAATAATACGCTAAGATTTGTCCAACTGCTTCCATAATTTTAAACATAAAATTACTACTGCTTTACCAAAAGTGTCAAGATCACTGCGTAGTTAGCTAACTTTTTTTTTTCATCCGGTGAAGAAAAAATAAATTAATTTTGATGTGTGTAAAGTAATATTTACCAAATCTAACTGGATTTCTGAAATTGTAGAAAAACTAGGAACTAGGTGTGAAATCAGAAAATGCGCTCCTATAACAATATATCAGGTGACTCTTAATGATTGAACAAATTTTTGGGTTGGTAATTCTGAATTATTGATAGCAGTGTTAGCATGGCAGCTCAGAGTGTCAATTTTGACATGAGAACGCCTAAAAACCAATGAGAAGCAGCAACGGAATTCGTGCTTAAAATGTTAATTTGACATCGGGTCACAAACACAAATACTCACCCGGTATTTAATGAAGTTTTGCCAGAAAGTATTAAATTTTTGGGTTGAGTTAATTACGATAATTTGGACGCGCGCATTAAAATAACAAGTAATCACAATGTTAGAGGGTCCCAAAAATTTTATGAAGATTCTTCCCATTGATAATAATATTTATAAAATAAGTTTTATATTGCGAAGTATTAATAGTACCGTAATAGTAAGTCATTAAGGAACAGATTTTCGTAATGTCCGTATTTACGTCAAAATATCGGTAAATTTCGGTGTGTAATTTTTGAGCTAATAATGAAGTTATGTACCAACGTAGCATATTGAATGGTTGATGTGAGATTTATTTAAAAATAACTTAGGAAAAAGTCATCCATTTTTTGGAAAGGATAATATCTAAATTTGGTTTAGGGGTTTACAATCGTTCCAATAATTTCAAAATGAACCTAAAATTTTATTCAGGTACTTAAGTTTCGTTGTTCCGATGATTATTTGTCTAAACAGAGTTTACAAATGTCTGAACAAACGATCAAAAAGGAGAATTGGGTAACTTGTACTTTCGTACTCTACGGGCTTAAAGTAGATTTTCGTAGTTTTATGTGGCTAAAATTTTGACTAGTTCCAGCTAAACAATCATTTTCAGGAGTTGTTTGAGCGTTGGCAATCGATACAAATTTTAGTCGATATTTGGAATCATTAGAGAAATTTTGAAAAAAAAAATGCTTGCATTGAAAATAATTACAGAATTTTTATAATTTTCGTGATTTGAATATTGAAATCATTACAAAATATGTAATATATTAAATTACATAGTAATTTCATGGATGCTTACTGTTTACTGTTTTATATGAATGTACACGCCACAACAGAACCGAGTCAGATCAATATGGAGCCATAAAAATTATACTCGTCGGTCAGATTTAAATTATTTTTCATTTTTTTTGCAGATGTAATTGTGAAAAATTACTTAAAAAAATCACTAAATTATTAACCGTTATAACGTTACACATTATTTTTTGTTTTTGTTTTTTACTCTGTTTGAGAGTACAGTAGCAAACAACAAAAACGACAACACCACACAACAACATGATTTGCACACTTGTAAAGCTGAAATAAATGAGGAGTATTAACCTTCATACTAATTTTTTATTTACCAGAATTTGAAACATTTAAACGCTGCAATGAAAAGGAGAGGCAACAATCTTGCTAAAAATATAAGTTCTTGGTTCATAAAACTAGACTTATAGAATCAAATTGTTGTCACTTCTAACATACATTTCTCTTATGGTACAAAAGAAAAACACACAAAACTATACAGATTATCATTTTATTGTGCTAGAAAATTTATTGAAATTACTAATTTCGTCAAACACAATTTTGGCATTACATGTAAAAAATACGTTACTAACGTTACTAAAATTTTAGAATATACTGAAATGGTTATCTTACTGTAAGTTATTCTGTTACACTTACTTATTTACACTTGATAAGACGGCAAAATACGACCAAGCAGATCGCAGAATCTAAAATAGTTAACACCGGAATTAAATAGTTGTGTCAATATAGTTAATTAAAACATTTACCTTGATAAAAGTGTCTAACGAAAGAGTGAACAAATTAATTGCTGTCAGTTTAATAGGCCTTTGACACCTGATGCTTAAAATCAGAAAATTTTTCTTAACTGGTGGCGGTTGCTGAAACCATTTCGACTCATACAAGGCGTAAATAATTTGACTACTCTGTAAACAACCGATTATTTTTTTATTAACTAACACCTGCATACCTCTACTTTAAGTTCTACTTTATTTCCAAACCAACAGTATAGAAGAATCTGGGCTGTAATTCCCGTAATATACAAAAGATGACCCAAACCTTCACCGCTGACAGGATTAACCTATGAAAAAATTTTAAGTTTGTAAGAAATACCATCATAAATAAAACCTTACGAATGTTAACTGGAACATTGTTAAAGCAAGAACTGCCGTGCTTGTAGCCATTTGTCCTAATGCTATCACGCTGAAAAAATTGTTGCTGTCTTGAGCAAAACTGAAACCAATTTGATATAGTACAGAAAGACCACAAAATCTACTTACCGTAAAATGGCTTTGTGGTGTCTAATACAACTAATTAATTTTCTATTAAAAGCTTCATTATCTTCGAGCTTTCTCAGGTCGTCACACAAAATATCGCACTGTGTTCTAATGTACATCATAACAGCAAAAATTAAACTGTCCAGATTGATGTTACCCATACTAATAGGCCAAATACACACAAGCTGATAGGCGTAAAGAATTTCATAATTTGGCGACACTGTAATTTGAACTGGATACCAAGCATCAAATGGTAGTTCGTATTGTTGGACTCCACCAGTCAAAAATGGGTTAATAGACCACATGAACACAATACTGCATACAATTGTAACATATACACCGTAAATTGTTTTCCAACCTTTTAAAGTAGGCTCCACAAGTTTCAACTGTTCAAAGGTTTTAGGCCGGAACTGTTCACTATTTAATCTTACAAACAACTGTTTAACCATTTTCAGATTTCGCACAAAAAAGTACATTTTCGTAGCTGCCAGGAAATTCGTCGTCGCTACGAATATTATTCTTGTTAGAGCTTTTATGTCGTTGTAGACGTATAAGATGTTGATTAGTTGGAATAAATTGTGGCCACCTATTATTACAATTGCTGCTAAAGAGGCGTAAACTGTGTAGAAGTCCGGTTTGTACAATTCGTTATCTTTGGGCCAGAGTCCTACGGTTCTCAAGACGAACAGATTTATTTTGATTGTGGTTTTCCAGTCGAAATTTTCCATTTCGCTTGTTGTTAGTTTTGTCTAAATTCGTGGTGAAAGCACTTGATAACACAAATAGATAAACTGATGAAGTGGTTTCTGTCTTGTTATATATTTCCTGGACTCGAAACCGACCAATCGAGTGCAAGCAGTTTATGTCTGCGCCAATAAAATTACTAGGTTAAGTCTGTTCAGTTGTAATTATGTATTTTTTTGGTGAAATATTAATCACTGTTTTAATTGTCTTATTTTTAATGTTGAATGATTTTCTGGGAACCTGTTATTATGGGTGTTTTAGTTATATTTTAACCGATGGAAGCACGTGTTACGTACGTTTTGTTATGAATTTTTTATATGGATAAAATTAGAGGCCTCACTTTTGTAATGGATGTTTAGGTGAAGAGACAAGTAACCGGCTGAAGTCAGCTCTTTAATAAAGCGAATATTTCCTACTAAAACAACATCCAGAGAAAGTTGTAATTTAGTTAAACGAGAGCAGTTTATTTTATAGGGTCATAGTTCATTGGCAGCTTTTTAACATATCAGTCAATATTTGCCTATTTTGGAATGAAATTACACACAGAGGAATTAAATTTATTTATTTTTTCAATTCTTACATAGGGAACAAAAATGGTGGATGCGCCGGGATAATGTAACAACAATTGTTTTGTGTGTTCTATATTTGATGACCTGCTACCTCTTTTTAAAATACTAATCGATCAAACATTTTCTAAAAATTATTTATAAATTAAGTCTTATTGTCACACTGTCACGGTTAATTTAAGCAGCATTATTAAAAAATCTTTCTGGTCTAATTATCTTCCATTTTGATATTGTAGTTGTGAGTAAGTAGACACTATATAATTTATTTAAAATTATTCGCTCTTTGAAACGAATTCTTCATATTTATCCCACCTGAAAAAAAACTTAGTAGTTGTAAGGAGGAAAAAATATTCTTACTCTATTTTCTTTTTTTTTTCTTATAAACTGCCTGTGCCACTAGAATTGATAAAATCATGATTTTGGTTAGTACCTATGCATATGTATTATAGTATTTTCTACGTAAGTGCGAATCTGAAAGTTAATTAAAGTCAAAGCTGCATCACTACGACGACGTAATACTTAGTTCAATCGTTCCAAACTAACGTATTTGTTGTATAAATGTGACTGCTAAATTCACCACAGCTCCCTCAACGTCTAACTCAAGAATATTTTTTATTAATGCGACGACGTAGTTAAGAAATTTGTCATCTACTAATTACCACTGGTCTTTGTTCATTATTCATGTTTCAGCTATCATTTCAGACCGCAGACCGAAACTTGTCAATACAACAAAATAGATAATAAGCAGTTCAATGTTGGCGATGGGCGGTAATTACTATAATTTTAAGACCCATTTATCCTTGTAAAAATGTAGCAGATAAAATGGGGTTGACCAGAAAATTAAATTTTTATTTGTGTGTTTGGAATCACACAAGAACTTTTCAATTATGTGGAGTAAATATCACGATGTTTATCTGTTAGAACATACTGAATGTGTCGTTAGTCTTGACGAGCATGCTATTTTTTCTGAGTTAAAAATGTTCGAAATGAAAATATTTTCTCCTGCAGGTGTCTAAGAAGAGAATTAGGACAAGTGGCAAACTAATAAGAAGTTTATAATAGAGAATTATAAAATTAAATTAGCAAAATCAACTTCTAGAAATTTATCTCGTGGTGCTTCAGGGACTAATTAAGTTCTATGTAAACATTTTTCGACTCGTTGCTTTCGTAATTACAGCTCCCAAATTGAAAAAAGTATAACCTCGATAATCCGAATTAATTGGGGAAAGGGTGTTCTGGGATTCGAGAATTGTTGGGATCAGCAAATTTGCCAAAAATCTGAAAGGGAATTGAATTACAACTTCAAGAAACAAACTTTGATTTTATTGAACAAAATAAAATTTTCTTGAGCAACGATAGATAGATACATTCGAAAAAATATTACTCCGTGACCATAAACCATCTATTATCCTGAATTTTTGAGAATTTTTAGACGACTTTTTCACAAATGAAATTTTCCACTACCTTCCTTATGAAAATTTCGACCCATTTTCGACAATTTTAGAAATTTAACTAAAAATATTTTCTTGTAAAGTTTGGGCTGCAGAAGTCACTTCCTGCCCCATTTCTTCGCTAATTAAAACTGTTTTTCCAGAATCGCCTATTTAAATATAGCAATTTTTTAAAATTTAAAAAAATTCGAAATGCACACCAAATTTTTTGAAAATATTGCTCCGTGACCCCTAAACACGCTACATTTTTGGAATCAGCACGACAAGATCTATAACCCTGAATTTTTTGAAAAATTTTTGACGACTTTCTCAAAAGTAAAATTGTCCGCAACGTATATCCTCCTTATGCAAATTTCGACTCATTTTCGACCATTTTCGAAACTTAACTAAACACATTTTCTTGTCGATTTGGGGCCACAGAAGTCACTCCCGGCCTCATTTCCTCAATAACTCCAACCGTTTTTCCAGAATTGTCCATTGAAATATCACAATTTTTAAAAATTTCAAAAAAATCGAATGTCTCTCTCAATGTTTCGAAAATAATGCGCCGTTACCCTAAACACTAATATCTTTGGAATGAATACGTCAAGATCTATAATCCTGAATACTTGGAGAATTTTTGTACGCCTTGTTTAACAATAAAATTTTCCACTATGCAATTTTCGACCCATTTTCAAATTTTTTCGATTTTAACTAAATACATTTTCTTGTAGATTTCGGCCCGCAGAAGTCACTTCAGCCCCATTTCTTCGATAACTCCAACTGTTTTTCTTGAATCCCTCACCGAAATATCGTAGTTTTTAAAAATTTCAAAAAATCGAATTTCCCTCCGAATATTGCGAAAATGTTGCTCCGTGATTCTAAATACGTTATATTTTTGAAATGAGCAGCTCAAGATCTATCACCTCAAATTTTTTTGAGAATGATAGACGATTTTTTCAAAAAACGAAATTTTCTACTATGCACATTTCGATCAATTTCTGGCGATTTTCGAAATTCTTTTAAAACACTTTCTTGTAGATTTGGGGCCGCAGAAGTCATTTCCGGCCCTATTTCTTCGATAATTCCAACCATTTTTCCAGAATCGCCCATTGATATATCGGAATATTTAAAAAGTTCAAAAAATTCGAATATAACTACGAATATTTCGAAAATATTGCTCGGTAACCATAAACACGCTATATTTTTGGAATCACCACATCAAGATCTATAACCGCGAATTTTTTGACAATTTTTAGACGACATTTTCAAACATAAAATTTTCAACTATACCAACTGTTTTTTCAGAATCGTCCACTGAAATATTGAAATTTTTAAAAACTCCAAAAAATTAGAATGTCACTGCGAATATTGGGAAAATATTGCTCCTTGACCTTACACGCGCTATACTTTTGAAATTAGCACGTTAAGATCTATTAGCCTGAATTTTTTCAGAATTTTTGAAAAATCAAATTTTCCACTTATGCAAATTTTAACCAATTATCGACGATTTTCGAAATTCAACTAAATACATTTTCCTGTATATTTCAGGTCCCAGAAATCACTTTCGGCTTCATTTCTTCGATTACTCCAACCGTTTTTTCAGAATCGCCCATTGAAATATCGAAATTTTTAACAATTCCAAAAAATTAGAATAACACTCCAAATGTTGGGAAAATATTGCTCCATAAAACGATACATTTTTGAAATCAGCACCTCAAGATCTATTACCCTGAATTTTTCCAGAATTTTTAGAAGACTTTTTGAAAAATGAAATTTTCCACTTATGCGGCGCAGGAGTCCCTTCCTGGATTATTTCCTCAATTATTACAACCATTTTTTCAGAATCATCCACCGAAATATCGAAATTTTTAAAAATTTCAAAAAATTATAATTTCACTCCGAATAATTCCAAAATATTTCCCTGTGACCCTAAACGGTATATTTTTGGAATCAGCACGTCAATATCCATAGCCTTGAATATTTTGTTAATGGTATTATCATCATATAGAATTTCGAAAATTTTGATCATACCTAATCAGTAATCACAAAAATAAAAATTGAAATCCGTTCTTTCTTTCAAATAAAACCGAAAACACTTTTAAATAACTTAAACCACCACTGACAGTGGAAATAAAAGAAGACGCATGGAATAGATTATATTAAAACTTAGTGCAAGAAGAAACCAAAAACAGAAAAAAAAAAACTCGTGGAATAGAGAAACGTTAAAACTGATCTTTTATTTTGTCCTTATTTGCTTCTTTGCTCCAAACATATAAAAAAATGTAAACTTTGTTTGGTTTACATTTATATTTTGATTTCGTAAAGAATCGAACTAATACAACACATAGTTCAAAAAGATAACTTTTAAAAAAGTTTGTGAGTAACATCTGAGTGAAAATTATTACAAATAAAATATGGAAATGATATGCAAAAAATTGACACAATATAATAAACGTATGAATGTCTCAACTTATTAGAAACAAACATAGTGATTATACAGTCGCTTCCCATCTAGAATAAACTTGTGATTTTGTTGTGAATCACATAAAAAAGTGTGTGAGAACTTTCAAATTGCAGATGATTGCAGTATTAAATCTTTACAGTACTCTTAAATGTTTTTGCAAGCTTCCACATTCTTAGATTTACGTACCAAAGCGTAGTAGATAACAAATAACCTAGTGTGTATACAAAAATTTGACACTTGGAGTTATCCCGGAGCCACTATGGTAGCACTTAAATGAAACAGAATTTTGTGACGCAACTAAAATAATGTCAAAAAATTTTTTTACGCTACAAAAACGATTTAAACACATCACATTACGTGGCACCTTGACGCTAGCCCGGCGCATCCACCATTTTTCTCCCTTCGTAATGCAACCTAGTTCGATTTACAAACGAGCTAAATTTCTCAGCGTATAATTTTGCTACATTATTGACTGACACACTAAAATGGTTGCCAATAAACTATGACCTTATGAAATAAGATGCCTCTATTTATTTAAATTACTACTGTGTCTAGAAGCTGTTGCAGTAGGACAAGTATTTGTACCTTCATTCGACTTTATTAAAGAGCTGTGCTATTGTTGGTTATTTGTCTTGTTACTTAAACATCCATTACAGGAGTAAGGAGGTCTGTAATTTTATTGTTATAAAATATTCATGAGAAACCGTACGTAATAGATGAAGCCGCCCTTTCAAAACCAAAATGAAAAACATGACAATAGGGTTCCACAAACACATATATGTTTGAAAACAAACCAATTTAAAGGGCAATTGGTACTTTTCCAGGCAAAAAAAAATTATGAAAATTGTGCAGACTTAAAATAAAATTTCAATGGCGCATGCATACATTGCTTCTAGTTGATTGGTCGGTTTCCATCGCATGAACTATAAAACAGGTAAATAATTTGAATTCTCATCATTTTGTGTGTTTGTGTTTTCAAGTGCTTTTGTTGTAAATTCACCGGTATTGTGACACTTTGCCAAACACTAAATCGTAATCAAAATGGAGAATTTTGAGTGGAAATCATGCATTAAACTACATCTGCGTGTTTTGAGATGTCTAGGTCTTTGGCCCAAAAACAACGACTTATACAAACTCGATCTCTACACACTTTATGCCTCTGTAGCCGCACTTGTAATACTAGTCGGACACAACTCGTGTGCACTAATTAACATTTTCTACGTCTACAATGATTTACAAGCTCTGGCGAAAATAGTATTTGTGGCAACAACAAATTTGCAGGCGACTTTCAAAATGTACACTTTTGTGAGAAACATTAAGACGTTTAAGCAGCTGCTGGCAGCGTTAAACAGTGACTTGTTTCGACCTAAAACTTCTCAACAGTTCGAAATAGTGAAAGCTACTTTGCGTACTTGGAGGAAGGCTTATGCTTGGTTTCTTACGATATTGTGCGTAATTATAAGCATGTGGTCTATTACTCCATTTTTGACTGGAGGAGTGCACAATTATCAGTTACCCTTTGATGCTTGGTACCCTGTAGAAATCAAGGTGTCGCCAAATTATGAACTTCTTTACTTCTATCAATTGTTGTGTATTTGGCCTATTAGTGTTGGGAATATCCACGTAGATAGTTTATTTCTTGCAGTTATGATGTACGTCAAAGTACAGTGCGAGATTTTGTGTGAAGAGCTACGAACTTTGAAGGATAATGCGAATTTTAACACGGAACTGATTAATTGCGTTAAACACCACAAAGCAATTTTACGGTAAGAGCATTTTGTTGAAATAATTTTATAGTGGTGTAAATTTTATTTCAGTTTTGCTCAAGAAAGCAACACTTTTTTTAGTGTGATTGCGTTGGGACAAATGGCCACAAGTACGTCCGTTCTTGCTTTAACAATGTTTCAATTGTCATTCGTAAGTGTTTCAATAATTGGTCACATTTGTTACAAATTTTAAATTATTAAATAGGTTAATCCTGCCAGCGGAGAAGGGCTAGGTCATATTTTGTATATTACGGGAATTTCGACACAAATGCATCTGTATTGTTGGTTTGGGAATACTGTAGAAGTTAAAGTAAGTACGCTTGTGTTATTTGAAAAAATAGTGAGACACCCCATATATTGATGACAGAGCAGCCAAATTATTTCCGCTTTATACGAGTCGGAGTGGATTAATCAGCCGCCACCGGTTAAGAAAAATCTTCTGATTTTGAGTATCAGGTGTCAAAGGCCTATTAGAATGACGGCGATTGGTTTATTTATTCTCTCACTGGAAACTTTTATAAGGGTATTTTTTGGGTGGGTTGTAACTTTAAATTTTAATGTCTACTATTTTAGATTCTGCGATCGGCTTGGTCGTACTATGCTGTGTTATCTAGTGTGAATAATGATTAATTATTAAAGACCGGCACACAATTGTTAGTTAGAATTGGATGAAGTTCAGAAATGCAAGAAAACAATTTATTAGATTTTTTTTGATACGGTAGATATTATTTATTGTTATTAGATGTAAATAAAATTTTGTTTCTGCATATCTACACTTTATTCAAATCGGGCTGAAATATTTATGTGGATTACATAATTTTCTTTAAATGAGCTAACAAAAACACAAAACTACAAAAAATGTACGTGTCTAGAGTATAAAAAACAAAAATATTATATTTAAATGAGTTTTGAGAAAGTAAAATCCAGCTATCGTCATTAGTTCAAAATTAGCATTTTTTTTTCGCAAATAAAAAAATTTATGATGAAAATTTAAAAGGGAATACAATTTAACTTTATAAAGCAAACATTTTTACTTTGTTTTTAAATAAAAATTGTTCCAAAACCACAATTTTACTTCCAGTGAGTGATCTCCAGTTTTCGTCTGTTTGTCTGTCTGCCTGTCTGGCATTTGTGTAGATTTTTATTAGACGCGTAACCTGCGAAACTACTGGACCGGTTGTTCTTAAATTGACTGTGTAATTGTGGTTTATCAATGCATGCTAATAGAGATAAAAATATACTCACTTAAAACCTACAGTACGTAAAGAATAAGTTGTTCGCTAATTGAAGCAAAAACTCTAGAAATTAGGAACAGAAAATAGCAAGTGCATCACAAGTACACAACACGTCACCACAATTAAACAGATGCAACCTCTTAGGAAAGGAAATGCTTAAAAATCAATCTTCCGAAATATATTTTTTCATAAATTCTGAACCCATTATTATAATTATTAGTAATTAGTACGACCCCATATTATGTTGCTTTATACCGTGAGAATCGGTCAGATGGATTCCAGTTTTTCCAAAATACCACTTTTCTCTAATTACAATTTAGAGAGAACCATTTATTATCCAAAAGGAACGTTTGAAACATAAATAATATAAACACAATACTGATAATTACACCCAATTAAAAATGCTTCCACTTCCTAAGAAGCTTGATTAAGAATTAATGTTTCGAAATATATTCTACACTAGGTGTACAGACTTTACCAGTAAGTAGTCAACATTTGTAGTTGCTACCGTGAGCAAGAATGAATTTCCAGTGGAAAACTGTGGTCATCCCGTACATCCTCGTTTTAAAAATAGTCGGATACTGGCCAAAACAAACCTACAAAGCAAATTTTTATTCCTTCTATGCTGTAACCTTCGGAGTTATTTTCATCGGCGGACACAATTTGTCTCAAATAATTTATATTTTCCACATCCGCAAAGACCTGAAGAAACTGACCGTTGCTTTATATATGACAAGCACAAATCTTCTGGCCGTCGTCAAGATCTATAGTTTTGTGCGAAACGTCGGCATTATCAAACAACTATTATTTAAAATGGAAGAATACGAGTTTGGTCCAAAGACTCGAAAACAGGTGCGTCTACTTCGAAAATCTTTCAATTATTGGAAAATTGTGTCGTTTCTTTATTCTATTGCTATGTATTCGGTAGTGTTGTCGTTCTCAGTTTTACCTCTGTTTACTAATAACTGGAGAAAAACACGTCTGCTGCCTTTTAGGGTTTGGTTCCCTTTCAGCACCAAGAAAATGACTCGTTATGTGTTTGGATACATTTATCAAGTGATTAGCGCATGGTACATTGCAATCGTTACCTTAAATATAGATCTGGTAATGTTCACCTTAATGATGTTTGTATGGAGTCAGTGCGAAATACTATGTGACAATCTAAGGTACCTAGAGGACGATAAATTTTTTGTGGAAAAATTTATTGAGTGTGTCAAACATCACAAAGCTATAGTGAGGTAAAAACCAAACGATGTTCAGCTATTGTGTTACTTAAACATGCACTGTATTACAGTTTCGCCAAAAATAGCAACCGTTTATCAAATAATATAGTTCTTGGACAAATGATAACTAGCGTAGTGGTTGTATCATTGGCAATGTTTCAGCTAACCCAGGTAAATTATCACACTTTGACATTTTTTTTTTTAGTTGTATTGTTTTTCAGGTTCATTTTATCAGTTGTGAAGCTTTCACTTCATTGCTGCACATCGCCACTTCTCTTTTACAAACGCTTTTTTATTGTTGGTGTGGAAACGAAGTTGAAATAAAGGTATCAAAAATTCTTTGAATAGTCAAAAATTAATTGTTTTCTTTTCAGAGTGGTCAAATTTCTTACGCCATATATGAATCTAAATGGGTTGATCAACACGAAGCCGTGAAAAAAATGATACTTATTTTCAGCTGCAGAAATCAAACACCAATAACTCTTAACGCCATTAAACTGTTTCCTCTTTCTTTAAAAACCTTCATAACGGTAAATATTGTTGAAGTCTCCTTCAAAAATAATCTTTGTTTTTTAGATTGTTAGATCAGCGTGGTCCTACTTTGTACTGTTACGCAATGCTGGAAGTTCTGAAGTTTCGGCTGGTTTGTAAAATAGAAAAATGTTCAGTTTGTTTGATTTGCTTGTTTAACACGACATATAATAGATTCAATGCACTTTATGCTCTTGTGTGTAAAATAGCTGAAACGTAGCCTCCTCACGAAGATTAAGGTGTAAGTTTAATTCTAAACAATTGTAGCAAAAATGTATATTGGTGCTGCTAATGAACTGCCGTTTTAAGCCCAAATAAATATAATAAGTATATTCAAAATGTTTCACTATACTTATTTGTACGAATTTGTAATTAAATTAAATATATTTATGAAAGACACCAGAGCACTCAACATTTTGCGTCATTTTTTTTCAAAAATCCTTCCATTGTTGCCTGTGAATTGAGAAGTTATTAAAAATGAAGCTGGAGGTGACCAATAAAATTAATTAAAAAACAATATAGTAAAGGTACGTAAGTAGTGTATAAGCAGGAATACTGGCAGTTTGAGTCTCGGGTGTGTTTTTGCCATTTGACGGTACATGTTGCTTTGGGGGGTTTAGAATTTGAGTGCTAGATGTTTGCTTCAACAACAGATGCAGCCTTAGGAATTTTGAATATTGGTAATTTGATTTATGTACTTCAACAAAGATTTTGAAGAAAAGAAGTCAAGTGCCAGGTGCAGCATTCGAACCTGCGCTCGTTTTTCCAACAAAAAATTAATTCTAGCGCCTTTGACCACTCACCCAACTTGGCGTATGTGTAAATTGTTCAACAATCATCTATACAAAGGACATTTGATGTATCATTAGCCCAGATTAAGAATTGAACACAGATTTGCAACTTTGGTTTCTCATTGACTAAACTAGGTAATGGTCGTATCAGAAAGTGGGTTAAAAAGTTACTTGTGCCTAAAATAGTTTTGAAAATATTCACAAAATTTAAAAAAAAATGTGTTCCAGTTTGTATGTTTGACTGCAATATTTCTCCAGTGTCAAAAAATAAAGGCATGAAATTTGGAAATTAATTTCTTAATTTATAATTATCAAAAAGAATTTAAGGAAGTGTACATCACACGTCCTTGTTTTTTGGAAGTAGCATCAACTTTGCCTTTTCAGAAAAAAATGGGTGTTTTTGAGTGCACTAAGTAAAAAAATATCACTTTTTGTTTCAATTTGACGTATATACCTAAAAAATATATTCCATTGTTGTTGAACAAAAAATGTTGACGTCATGTCCAAACAAACCAAAACTACTACTCCTATAAATTAAAATAAATCTTTGTGTGGAGTGTCAAATTACAGGAAAAGAAGCATGTTATGCCTGTGTTGCAAGTGAGTTGTAACCCGCCGGCGTCCATTCACGGACCTCTCCTCCCCGAAACGAGCACACTACCCTAGACCACTGCTCTGCTTATTATGTGATTAAATAACAAGACAGATCAAATAATAAACACATAATAATAATAACAATAGTAAAATCAAGGCAGATTCATAAACCACAAGTACAGAAGTATGTTGTTTTATAAAACATAAATAGCCTTTACTAAAAAACATTTTGCGAAAAGTCATAAAATTTTGGTTAGAGTTTATGACGACAATCGGTCAAGTAATTGGGGAGGTTATCTGCTGTGCACATATTTTAACGTAATTGGGTCCGTTAACTTGGCACCACCAAGCACCTCGTTGTTCTAACCTAGCACCAGCTAGCACCACCAATCAAAAAGCTAGCACCACCTAATTATTGAAATAAAAGCCTTTTACTTTCGGGGGGGGCCAAGTTAACGCTAGCCCCCCGACATTATTTAATTCTCATGAAAAGTTGGTCCGAGGTAGTTTAGACCTAGCACCAGCTAGCACCACTAGTCTCATAGCTAGCACCACTCTGCAAGTATTAAAAAAAAATTAAAAACCAAAAAAAAAGTAGCCCCCACTTTTTTTTCTTTAATGGTAAAAATCAGTAGGTTAATAGTCTAGAGCTAGCACTCGCTGGATCCATTAAAAAAAAGTGTATTTTTATTCAATAAAGCCATGTAATAAAGGGTTATTTTCGGGGGGGGCTAAGTTAACGCTAGCCCCGCAATATAATTTAAAGACAATGAAAAGCTAGCACCTAATAGTTTAGAGCTAGCACCAACTAGCACCATTAGTCTTATAGCTAGCACCATTAAACAAACTAAATAAAATAATTGAAAAGCCCTGAAAAAATAACTCGCATCTATAATTCCCAATCGTGGCCGGAAATAAACTATCTTTGAAAATTAATACATTACAATCATCCATTACTTATAAAAAGTCATGTTTTCTGCATTGAACAGAACTTAATATCTACATTATCTACATACTTAATTAAATTACATCACTTGCGTTCAAATCGTTCTTCATTTATTTCAACACACTAAAAATTAGGCCATGATAAATGCGATCATTTAATTTTTTTCCACAGTCATACATTTGACTGACATTACGTAAATAACAAATTTGAAATAACAAGCGAGACTATAAAATTTAAGTCATTTGTAATTTATAAATCCGAGGTTAATGACGAAAACCTTTGTAAACTCTAAATTCCTAAAAATATTATT